TTCATAGCTGCATAAACAGTGCATGAATATGCCTGTTTTCCCACAATCCTTTCAACTTTTGTCACACACATAGCAGTCAAGCCAGCCTAATGGAGAAATGAGGTACCCCAAAGGAGAGATAGGAGGCAGCACGTACCAGAAAATTCAAAGCAACACCACCACCTTTACCATCATCTCCCCTCAGACCCTGCTGGAGACAGCCCAGGACCTGAGCTCAAGATTCTTGGGAATAACAAGTATCCCCCAAACCAGGGATAGGGAACCTGCAGCCACAAGGCCACCTATGGCCTAGGTCCTCAGGTGCAGCCTTTTGACTGAGTCTAAGTTTTACAGAAAAAATCCTTTTATCAAGGGGATTCATTCTGTGAAGTTTGGATTCAGTCAAAGGGCCACACTTGAGGACCTAGAGGGCCACATGTGGCCTCAAGGCCACAGGTTCCCCATCCCTGCCCTAAACCATCAGACCTTCTTTCAGCCCACCACAGCCCAGCCCCTACAGCAGTTATTGAGAGGAAAAATCACTGTGGAGAGACAGCCCGTTTTTCTCATCACCAGCAGCAACAATTATTTACCAACAGGCAGATGGGCATGGGAGCCCTAAGTGGGCAGCACCACCCAGACCACTAGTCCTATTTGTAGCCCAGCCCTCATAGTAACCATCTAGGGAGATGATTCCTGTGGAGAAGGGGCCAGTTAGTCATCCCCACCAAAAAATCAACTACCACCCATGGGTGGGCAAGCTAGCCTAGCTGAAGCAGCAAGGCACAATGGGGGAGAGACAGAGAGACACATATGCCAAGGGTAAGACCACTTTGACCACCATCTCCCCTCAGAGCCTGATGAAGATAGCTCAGGACACTGAACCCAAGAGCCTTGAGAATGGCAAAGCTTCTAGCCTAGTGCCCTCAGTCATCATGCTGGGAAGCAATTCCTGGAGAGATGTAGCCCAGCAGCTGCTCCTGCAGGTGTTACAGCCAGATCTGTTAAAGATTCAGCAAAGAAAGGCCTCATCACCAAAGTCCTTAGCACTTTCAGATGGTTCAACTTCAGAAAGTGAGATGATTTTAGCAGTGCAAATGATATTAAAGAAAGCATTACCATCTGCTTTACCACTTCGTTCTAAGAACCATGGAAGCTTTTTATCTGCTGTGCAGCTAAAACTTTCCATATGTGTCAGCTCCCCCATTAGAAAGTGGTCTGAGAGCAGGGGCTGTCTGACCTTTCTACTTGTGCCCCCAGTGCTTTGCACATAGGAAGCACTTAATACATTTTTATTCACTTTTCTTTATTTTGTTTTAATATCATTTTTATTAAAGTACTAAATTTTATTAATTTATTTTTTTGTCAATTGTATCAATCTGGAGGATTTGAGGTGAAACCTCAGCATTGCTTTAATTTACATTTTTTAAAAAATCACTAGTGATGTGCAGCTTTTGTTTTTCATGTGGCCATTGATAGCTTGAATTTCTTCCTTTGGAACTGCCTGTTTATATCATTTGACTATTTAACCACTGGGGAGAGGTTAGAGTCATAGCAATGGAATCAGTGGACCAAAAGGTATAATCATTTAGCAACTCTGATTGCATGTTGCCACACTGCCCTTTAAACACTGACACTTCTCTACAGACCTTCTAGATATATTGGAGTGTCTGCTTTCTCACATCCTGGCGAACGTTGGAATTTTATCATTTTAAAATATTTTTATCGTGCTAGTGGATATTATTAGATAGTATTTCAACAGTTCCTGAGTTGTATTTCTCTTGATAATTAAGGAATTTGATCATCTGCTCATGTCACTAACAACAGTCTGTATTTTGTCCTTAATAAGTCATTCATGTCCTATGGCCATTGTTACTTTGGAGAGTGTGCATTATTAGTCTTATATCTATCTATCTAAAATGCATCTGCATTATTACTCCTTACAGATTCTGAATGTCAGACATTTATGTCTGACTATAGGTTTACTTCAAATATATTTACCAATCTTTTTCTTTCTGAGACTGAATTTAAAAGGGATATTTGAAAAGCTCAGGTTCCAAAAATTAACTTAATAAGTACAGTATAGTGTAGATATGGCTAGATAAACATGTTTTTGAAAAATATCTAGGGGTCAAGTATGGTGGGGTTCTGAGCTACAGTATGGCTAAAGCCAATCCTTTGTCCACACTAAGTTTGGCTTTAATATGGTAAGTCCCCAGGAGCAGTGGGCCACAAGTCACCTAAGGAAGGGCAAACTAACCCAGATTGGAAATGGAGTAGGTCAAAGTGTCCAAGCCAATCAAAGTGGGATTGAATCTGTGAATGACCCCAGACTTGCAGCCTGAGCAATAGGGAGGGAAGGGGGCAGCTAGGTGGCTCAGTGGATAGAGCTCCGGCCTTGAAATCAGGAAAGTCTTAACTGACCACTTGTTTGATTTATGCAGAAGGCATTCTTGTTCAGGTATAAGCTAGGTGAGATGGTCTCCAAGGTTCCTTCCAGCTCTGTGATTCTGGGATTTTGGTTTCTAATCAATAAGTATTATTCCAAACCCAGGTTCTGCAGCATCCATACATGGAGTTATTGAGAGTGGGGGAGATTTAATAACATGAAAGAGAACAATAGTACACAATCAGGAATTTTCTAGTATGGCTCACTGATTGGACAAGAATAAAATTTTTAGGGCATTGATAGAAAGACTTGTCTTGGGGAGTACTTTGGTTTCCAAAGCCTATACGAAAGTTGGAACTTGTTAATATTCTTTCTCTCAAAGTTAAAATACAGATTTAGTGACTAGGGTCAATGTACTCAGTATAACCCGTTAAACATTTACAGGATACTAATTAGTGAGAAAGATCTAGTGCAGGAGGTCTGTGAACTTGCATGCATACTTAGTAACTGAGTAGCTTAGTAATGTTGATAAAGTAGGACACACACTAGCCTATTGGAATGTTTAGAATCCCTAAGTAGACTGAGGGGAAATAACTGTGGGAACAAATACCAGTAGATGGATTTTTCTGGCCATCTTACCTGTGGATATAAATCTGTCCAAAAAGCAAATCTGCCTGAACTTAATAATTGCTCTGTAAATAAAATGTCTGGCTTGTATTTTAAATTCCATCACCATTTTATCCTGTTAATATAGAATTATCTTACCTTTAAAATTTTGGCAATTAATTTTTTTAATATTAAGTAGGTAGGGGTGTATGGGAACAACATTGTATATACTTTTTCACAGTTTTTTTAAATCTCCAAAATCATTCATTATGTGTAACTTATACTTACATACAAATAATTATTAGAATGTCAAATGTCTACATGTCCTTTTGAACTGGACAAACGTGGTGAAATTAGGAATTATATTCTGCTGGCAGGACTTTTCAGTTACATTTACTTTATAGGGCCCTTCTGTGGTTTTACAAAGTTTTCTGGAGTTGTTGCCATGATACTTTGTTGTCTAGAAAGAAGCTTATTTGTATAACTCTTGCATATGTGAAGCAAGATTCAATAAACTACCTTTACAATGTTCTAGACTATGCATTGCCACTGGTACTTTGGCATTTTTGACCATCCTTGGAGGATTGGGATAGGAAAAGTAACACTGGGGCATCCCCCTTCCCACATATAAACAACACATTTTTCAAAAATATTTTTAAATAAACAATACATTTTTATGCAGCTGAGTTCAGATAACAGTGAACTTCAAGGGGATAAGAAGGCAGCTTCAGGGTTGTAGGTAGAAGTAGGAAGTGGCAATCTACCTGATTTGCTTATACTTGGAGGAAGGGAGGTTAATAATGGACTGCTTCCACATATGTGATACTTAGGCTTTCTTTCACTTGCTTGTCAATTTCTTTTTCTAGCGTTGGATGCCCTGGGAAGGCTACACCAAGCACAGATGAAGCTCACTTATCAATCCTTAGATATAGCCGCATCTCTTACCAAGCAAGGTTGGATTTAAAAATGAGATGAAAAGCTGCCTTACACCTCCCTTAATAAAATAGGCTCAGGAAATAAATTTTGCTTCTTTGGATATAAACTAGTCCTTGCCCTTGTTCACCATAACATGGGCTTTGAAGGAAGGATCATAAAATCAGAGATTGGAAAAGCTGGAAAAACTTTTAGAGCAGTGGTGTCAAACTCAAAGTCAAATGGGTCCACTAAACCATACATAAGGATCCCTTCTGGCCACATACTGACTTAGGAAACCAAACATTAACATGTTTTATGTTCTATCATATTTTTATTTATTTTTGTTTAACATTTCCCAATTACATTTTCATTTGGCTGGGGCCACCCTTAGCAGGTGAACAGTGAGTATGACAGCTCTGCCTTAGAGGATATCATGTCCAAATTCCTTTCTTTTACAGAGGAGGAAAATGAGAGGTTAAGTGATCTGCCCAGGATCACACAGCTAGTAGAAAGTTGAGGCTCCATGTGAACCCAGGTCTTCCTCATTCCAAGCCTAGTACTCTATCCACTACATTGCCACTGACTCTGCAAAGTGGGTAGGACTTAAATACTCAGCAAGAAGGAAGACCATTTTAGATGGAGAGAAAGGTATGAACAAAAGTTGGGAGGATACATGGTCTTTGGTGAGTAATGGGTAAGCCAGTTTTGCTACAGCAGAAGGCTACATTCAGGAACAGTGGATTATAAATTTAGACAGGCAACTGCTGAGACTACAAAGGCTTCTAGGTGGAGGGTTACTCACTGTGGGTGTGGTTATTTTCTATTTTCTGGACTTAATCACCATGCCTCAACTGCCCCCTGATTACACTGCTATGGGCCCTTCCTCTATTTTGGAGAAGAACCCCAGACCAGTAATCCCTCATTTTCTAGACTCAGCTACCATGCCCCTACCCTGGTACCTTCTTACCTGACCTTTCTCCTTTCCCCTTTCACATGTTGTCATCCCCTATTAAAATGTAAGCTCCTTGAGGGTAGGGAGTGTTTCCTTTTGCTTGTATTGGTATCCCCAGTGCTTAGCACACTGCCCAGCACATAGTGAACACTTGAAAAATGCTTGTTGGCTGACTGACCAAAAAAAAAAAATTAGATAGGAAAGCACCAAATTGGGTAGGGCCTTGAATGCAAGTCTAAGGAACTTGGATGAATTGTATTCTTTTAAATGCATCATTGATACTTTTTGAGTAACTGACACCTCTTAATAACACCTCTTCCATAGAACCTTTTCTTATTTGGAAACAGTGAAGGACAAATGGACACTTTGTATGTAGTTTATCTTTGTCATATTTTGTATTTTCTTATCTATGCTTTCCTCTAACACCTCTGCCCCCATAAGGTCTTTAAGAACAGACTTTACTTTTTCTTAAATGTAGCTCTAATTTACATAGTCTTTCTGGTTAAGACTAGTTATTGTTACTTTATCTTTGAGAAGTAACAGAATCTTGAAGAGATAATTTTACTGTCATCTGGAAACTGTTTGCCAGGAAGAGAAAGAAGCAAGAGAGCTTCTTTGCTGAGAGACTGAGTAAGTTAACTACAACACTGAGAAAGACTGGAGGGACATTTTGACAGAACTGAGTTTAACTCTTAATCTGTGAAGAACAGAGATATCCTGCAGAGAGTTCTTGAGAGACTTTCAAGCATCATCCTGAGAAAACTCTGTTGCCCATGTCTGTGAAGAAGTCAGCATTTAGGGAACTCTGGTCGTGATCTTCCTCATGGCTGATGCATTGCTGAAATATATATTTGTATCATTTGTTACACTGCTAACAGATTGTAATATTAATGGTTATTTTAAGCCTGTTGAAACAGCAAGTTGAAGTAAAAGATTATCAGGAAACAGATTTCTTTTGTTTATTTATAAACTAGAGTGGGAGCTCAGCATTATTTAATGAGAGTGTACATTTTCATCAATTTGGCAGCAAGGTAGCATAATAGATAAGAGGGCCAGACATGGAATTAAGAAGTTGTTATTGTTTAGTAGTGTCCAACTCTTTGCAATTCCATTTGGGGTTTTCTTGGCAAAGATACTGGAATGGTTTGCCATTTCCTTTTCCATCTCATTTTTACAGATGAGGAAACAGGCCAGCAGGGTTAAGTGATTTGCCCAGGGTCATGCAGCTAGTAAGTGTCTGAGGCCAGATTTGAACTCAGGAAAACAATCTAGCGCTCTATCCACTGTGCCACCTAGCTACCCAGAGTTAGGAAGACCTAAGTGCAAATGCTTCCTTGAATGCTAGCTGTGTGATCCTGAACAAGTCATGTAACCTCTCTCAGATTCAATTTCCTTATTGTAAAATGTGGATAAAAATAGCATGTACCCTGTGAGAATCAAAATAAATAATATATGTAAAGCATTTTGCAAACTTTAAAGAGCTATATAAAAGCTAGGTATTATTATTATTGTTAGTTATGAGAAAATATCAAAACACATCCCTTGATTGATTGCCTTAGACCTTGTGATGTAAGTCATGCTATTGGAGACAGCTTGAACATATATATATATATATATATATATATATATATATATATATATATATATATATATATATATATGGAAATTGTAAATCTAAGTTCAAGAATAGAATTGAAAGAAACAGATTTCTGTTAAAGTCAGTTCATTTGCATCTCTATTTGATTTGCTAATGACTTTCAGAACTTTTAAGTTGATGAGAGCCAAGGCACATTCACAACAAATTTAGACCATTATCAATATTCTGGACTTCAGAACTCTAATTTATAGCCCAAGACATATCCACTTCTTTTTATTCCTAAAATAAAATAAGTAAATTACAACACATAAACATATACATACTTATATTTATCCAAAAATAATAAGTGTGAATGCAAGCTTACAGCATTATGTAGCAACACTGATGTCAGACCTAGAAGATAATAGGGATTTAGATGTATAATTCTACACAGAGATAACACACCCACTATAAAACATTTTTTTAAAAAAATTTTTTTCTAAAAGCAAGTCCATTTCAGAGACAAATGAAAGAACATCTTTTCAGTTGTATGCTTCTGGCTAACATGGGAGGAAGGGAAAGATGGGAAGGGAATGAGCACTTATATAGCACCTACTATGTGTCAGGTGCTGAGTGCTTTACAAATATTATCTTATTTGGTCTTCACAATATCCTTAGAAAGTAGATGTTGTGATTATCCCCATTTCACACTTGAGGAAACTGAGGCAAACAAAGGTGAAGGGACTTGCACAGCTAGTATATGTCTGAGACTGAATTTGAATTCAGGTCTTCCTGACTCCAGGTGCACTAGTGAATCCACTGCACCACCTAGCTGACTTGTCTTGTGTTACAACAATAGATTTTGTGCATAAAGGTTTATCTGCCTGTATTGGAATAGAGTTTTCTTATTTCTAAAAATATGTTATTCTGATGTGGTCAACAAACACTGACATTTCTTTATACAAAGAATAGAAAAAATGTGATTGTATATTATACCATGAATTTCTATTATACATGGCTTTTTAATTAGCATATTATTTAAAGTGTGGTTTTGAAATTTTACATGTTTCAACACTACTCTGCTTCACTGTGGACCCTTCTGAGTTTCTTTCTATTCTCTCCTGTGTATGTTTTTATGCTTCACTGAGGTTTTTTTCTTTATTTTTCCCCCTCTCCTCTTCCTCTCCCCACCCTTCCCTTCCCTTCCCCTTCCTTCTCCTCTGTCTTCTCCTTCCTCTCCTTCTCCTTTTCTCCTTCCCTCTCCCTCTGTCTTTCCCTAGTCGTCTTCCTCTCCCTCTCTCTTTCCCTCCTCCGACTCCTCCCCTCCCCTCCCTTCCCCCTTCTCTTTTTCTCTTCCCTTCTCCACCCATTTTAATTCTAACTGTATTGATTTTGTCTGTGCAATATAATCTGTCCAGTTTGTCTCCACCCTCCACTTACTCAAATATCTGCCTCCCCTATTCCTCTCAAATAAAAATTCATCCTTATACAAATAGATGTAATAACAAAAAACAAATCCATACATTGATATTGTTGAAAGTGTATACCTTATTCTCTACCTCTAAACTGTTAGCACTCTGCCAAGAGGTGGGAAGCATGATCCATCCATCAGTCTTCTAGAGACAGTGTAACTGGTTATTACACTAAACAGAGTTCTTAAGTTTTTCCTTTAGAAAGTTTTCCTTTAAAAGCTGTTATCATTGTATAAATTGTTCTTCTGGTCATGCTTACTTTACTCTGCATCAGTTCATATAAATCCTCCCAGGTTTCTCTGGATCTGTCCTTTTCATCATGTCTTACAGCACAATAATATTTCATTTCATTCATATACCATAATTTGTTAACTCATTCCCATTTTATAGGTGTACGCTTTGTCCCTGTTTCTTTGCTACGAGAAAAATTGTTGCTATGAAACTTTTTTTGTTGTTGTTTTTGAAAAAAAAATGTAGGTCTTTTTTCTTTGATCTCTTTGGAATATACACCTATAAGTGGCATCACAGGACTAAAAGGTTTAGTAACTCATGGTTTAATGATTTTGGGGCAGGGTGTAGTATAGTTCTAAATTTCTTTCCAGAATGGTTGTACTATTTTACAGCTCCCCCAAAAGTTCATTAGTATGCTGTTCTTCCCAAAGTCTCTCCAGCAATTGTCATGATTCTTTTTTGTCATTTTTGCCAATCTGATGGGTGTGAGGTAGAACCTCAGAGTTTTCAAAATTTGCATTTCTCTTATTATAAGTACTCATTTGGGAGCTTTTCCTCAAATGGTTGTTGATAGCTTTATATGTTGATAATTGTTGTTGTTGTTGTGGTTGTTTATCCTTCATTCTTAAAGAGATGTCACCTTGACTTCAGGAAGATGATGTCCTGAATTGCAAGTGAATTGAATTCAAGGGAGGCAGGGCTGTGCAAAGTCACCAGCCTCATTCTCTCCTCCATCTGAGTCCACTGACAAAATACAGATCAGTACAACTGGAGATGGCTCTGGATGCAGTGGGAGACTTTGGCCTTTTGAAGCAAAGGTCTTTCCCAGGTCTCAGTTTGTCTGAGGCAATGACCATTCAGTGACTAAGGCTAGGTAAGAAATGGGGCAAAGAATAGCCTCTTTTACCTAGTCATAAAGAAAAAAAAAGTCTGAGCCATCAGAGCTCAAATAATGAGCAAGTGAGGCTTGTGCTGGGACCCATTGTTGGCCAATCAATGAGAACCAGAATGATTTAGGTTTAGGCCTGACTTTTAAAAAAGAAATCTAGCCCTAAAACCCCAAGGTTTCAGCAATCAAAATTTTATATTCCTTTGGGTAGAGCACCCACAGGTAAGGTTATAATTCCCTATGTGGACAGAGGGAGAGAAAGGAATGGAGGAAGAAAGGGAGGAAAGAAGGAAGGAAGGAGGGAAGGAAGGAAGGAAAAGGACCTGCATTGCCTAACAGCTACTCACAGATTGTCGATTGTTGGTTGTTTGTCCTTTGTTCTCAAAGAGGACCATGACATCTGGAAGGTGATGTCATGACTTGCAGGTGAATTGGATTTAAGTGAGATAGGGCTGGGCAAAGTCACCAGCCTCAGTCTCTCTTCCAGAGCCATCTGGATTGATAATAGTTAAATAGTGGATATAGTGTTGGACTTGGAGTCAAGAAGATGAATTTGAATCTTGCCTCAGCAACTTATGTTTGACTCTTGGGAAAGTCACTTAACCTCTTTCAGTAGTAGTTCCCTCATCTCTGAAATGGGTATAATAATAGCACATACTTCAAAGATTTGTTGTGAAGAGAAAAAGAGATAATCTATATTCAGCATTTTGCAAGCCTTGAAACACAATATATAGTTTAGCTGTAGTTATTATTGTTAGGTTATCTTTCTTCTTTTGAAAACTGCCTCTTCATATTCTATAACCATTTATCTATTGGGAAATTGCTCTTGTTCTGATATATTTGCATTGATTACATACACACACACACACATCTTGGATCAGAACTTTGTTAGAGAAATTTGCTACAAAGATTTTCCTCAGTTAACTCTTTCCATTTTAATTCTAACTATATTGATTTTGTCTGTGCAATGTAATCTGTCCAGTTTATCTCATGATCTTTTCTATCTCTTATTTGGTCAATAATTCATCTACTATCCATAGCTGGGAAAGGTGTCTCCCTCTCTATCTCTCTAATTTGTTTATGATATCACTTTTTATATCTAGGACATATATGCCTTTGGAGTTTATTGCATTATGCTGTGTGAGATATTGGTCTAAATCTAATTTCTTCCAGACTACTTTTCCAGTTTCTCAACAGTTTTTGCCAAAATCCTTGGGTTTATGGAACACAATGTGACTATGTTTGATTGCTTCTGGGTCTTTTATGCTTAATCCACAGAACAGCTTGCCTATTTTCATGATTATTGCTTTGTAGTGTAGTTTGAGATCTGGTGCTGCTAGGTTCTCTTCCTTCCAGACTGTTTTTTCATTATTTCCCTTGACATTCTTAACCTTTTGTTCCTTCAAATGAATTTCTGTTATTGGATTTCTAGTTCTGTAAAATATCTATGTAGTAATTTGGTGTGGCACACTGACTGTGTAAGTTAATTTGGTTAATATCATTTTAATTATTTCAGCATGGCTCAAACATGAGTGATTAATGCCTCTCCAATTATTTGTGTCTTTATTTCTGTAAAGTGTGTTTTTAGTTGTGTTCATATAATTCCTATATGTATATTGGTAGATTGATTCCATCTATCTATCTGTCTAACTATCTATCTATCTATCTATCTATCTATACATACACACACACATATGTGTGTGTGCAATCAATCTACCTATATATGTATACACACACACACACACGTAGGCATATATATATGTAGTTATACATATGTTTTCTACATATTAAACTTACAACATATACACTATGTAAGAGGTTACTGGTACATTCCCCCATCTTGATTCCAAAGATGATATTCAATAAGGGGAGGAATATATTTGACTAGATAATGAGAATGAGTTTAATTTGTCACCTACATTTTATTTTAGATTATCAAAAAAGCCCTTACCGAGGAAAAACGTGTGTCCACAAAAACATCAGCTGCAGATCTTGTGACAGAAACAGATCATCTTGTGGAAGATTTAATTATTTCTGAACTAAGGAAGAAGTTCCCTTCCCCATAGGTAAGGGTATTACAAGGGGGGAATGGGAACAGTTACAACAATGAGGGAGAATGCTTGTGGGACAAATGTAGGCAGCGGCATAGTTACAGCCTCTGTTATTTGTTTTGCTGCTGCAGGCATGTCTTCCCAAGAAAAGCTTGGCCCCAAATGGAGCCAGCAGTTGTATTCTATCCAAGGGTGTACCTTCATGTGTTTCTTTACTAGAAGCTATTATTCCATTCTTCTTTCTGTCTACAAAGTTATAGGTCAAGGAGTGATTGTAAGAATAGGGCTGAGAGAAATTTTTCTCCCTACTGTGTTCAGAAGGGTATGTGTGGGGGAACCACTTTCTTTTTCCCATTCTTCCACCTAGTAGAGATGACTATTATTCAATATGTATGTTAAATGGTGGCTTTATTTTTAAATTTAAAATTAATAATATTATTCTAGAAAACCATTCCCTGGGATTTGGGGGGTGAGGAGGTGGGGAGAGACATTACTTGACTGAAAAGTAATCTTTAAAAAGAACTTGGGGTTATGGAAACAACTGATAGCCAAGCTGTGATAGTAATTAAAACTGTTCTATAAATGACCTGAGACCTGTTGGCCTTCCTCAGACATAGAACAGGGTTACCCAAAAGAGAATGTGAACTTTGAAACAGGTAGTAGTAGTAAGGAATCTGGCCTTCAGAGGGAAATGATTCAATGCAGAAGTACTCAGTAGAAAGATGGTACATGGCCACTATTAAGATTATAGCAATTAGGTGACATGGTGGATAGAGCTATGGACCTGCAGTCAGAAAAGACTTGAGTTCAAAACTAGCTTCAACAACTATGTGACTCTGGGCAAGTCACTTAAAACTCTGCTTGCATAAGTTTTCTTTTCTGCAAAGTGGGGATGATAATAGCACCTACCTTCCAGGTCACTGTGAGGATTATCTGAACTAATATTTGTAAAATGCTTTCTAATCCTTAAAGAGCTATATAAATCCCACCTATTATTATTGTTATTACTATTATTATTATTACCTGTTAGCTTAAACACATAGGTCAGGTGATCTTGGGGTCTATTACTTGTATTTTGATAACTATTTCAATATAATTGATTTCCTTTGTAATCACATATATTTTTTATTTCATTTTGTGCTTTTAAAACATTATGAGAAGAGATCCCTACACTTCACCAAACTGCCAAAGGGGTTCATGATACAAAAAAAGGTTAAGAACTGCCTGCTATAGGTGAAAGAAGCTAAAGTTCACCAAAGGATAGAACCCATCAATACAACCAGCAAATGTATATTCTTTAGGCAAAGAGAACAGACCAGAAAGAAACAGGCCAAGACAGGCATTTCAGGAGTCTAGTGCTAGGGAAACTTTCAGGAGAAGCATCACTGTGACTAGATGAGCCAATAGCTTCCTTATCCAAGGAGCCAGGGGCCAAGTAGGAACCCTGTAGGCCCAAGCAACAGCAGAATAGAAGTATAGCATAATCAGAGCCAGAATAGAGCCATACCTTTAGATGAGATTAAGGATTTTCCAGGATCCTGTAATTACAATTTTACAACTTCCAAATTTCTTGAATATGCAAGAATTATAACAACTTTTACCAGTGGTAAGAGGAGGCATATACCCTTATAATTAGAAATGCATAGAAGTGTTTCTCACAGATCCTTACATATAACCAGTTTCCATCAACCATTCTTCACTCATGAAATGGATGATCAGACTCTTTTTGATGTTGACACATCAGTTTCTCAGCTGTCTTTCTTCATGACCTCATGCTGCCCTCATTTCCTCTTGGAATCCCTAGGTTATTTTAGGGGTTGCGAAATTCTCTCCATGAAATACACTCTCTGCCAATGGGTGTTGGTAACATTTTTTGGTGGATGAATTTCTGTTATGACTCCCATTAGTATGAATCTGGAGTGTGACTGAAAGAGTTAGCTTAAAAGTAAGAGAACAAGCATTTTTCAACCTCTCTTTTAAATATACCTGTATCTCTATCTGTGGTGGCCAGAAAACACACTGCGAGCAGAAATACCATACAGATGCAAAGTAATAACCATGTTCTGGTTATATTTTCTTTTTTATAGGCCTTATCATTCTTAGCAATGTCACAGTGTTCTTGGCTAATGGTCCTTTATGTTCTAACCCCAATCTTGCTTTGCCTACTTTTCCTATTTTCTAATTTATTATTAAACTAGGATGTCTAACATATCTTTAAAAATTCATAAGCTTTTAAAAATTGTTGTATTTTGGGTTGTTTGGCCAGGGCAACCACATTAATCATCATTTATTCTTGATGTAGTAAGTCAACCAAAATGCTATTTTGGGCTGCCTTTAGGAACTACCCTAGTACTTGAGGTTTCTGTAGAGATGTGGGAAAGAAATGATTCCTTTAGCCTGGGTGTAGTTGAAATGGGACATTGCCAAGTTATTCAGAATACTGATCAAGATTCTGAGGTCACTGTGGGGCTGCATATGATTAAATTAGTGTTGCTTCTGGATTTTTAAAAATCAATTTACTCTGATAAATCTGACTTTGAAGTTGTATTATCTAGTGGGTGTTTTGGCAGCAGATAATATAGATATTATTTTGTTTGAGCTTCTATGTAAATCTTCAGTAAGTCTGCAGTCTACTCAGGCAAATATCCTTTATTGTGTAATATAGGATTTAATATTTTAGAAAGGTAGATATTTTACCTGTAGGACCTAAGCAGAGCCATAAAATAAGTTAAAACACTTGGTTCTGCTAATGAGACAGCTAAATGGTACATTGTATATAATGTGGGACTTCAAGAAAGGAAGATGAGTTCAAATCCTACCTCAGACACTTAACTAGCTATGTCATATTCTGGACAATTCACTTACTCTCTCTTAGCTTCAATTTCCTCATCTGTAAAAAGAGGTGAATAATAGCAACTACTTCGCCAGTGTAATTGTGAGGAACAAACAAAGTAGCATAAATACTTTGCAAACCTTAAAGTGCTTTGTAAATGCTAGCTGTTATTTATTATTATTCATCCACTAACTGTGTTACTTTGGGCAAGTCTTTACCCTTCCTGGGCCTCTGTTTCCCCAACTGAGATTCTATGACTTTTATAAAAATGGTCAAGTCCTAGATGGGATAACAAAAAAAAATCATTACAAAAATGGGAAAACTGTGTTCTTTAGTTAATGGTGTTGACACTCATTTATTTGTCATTTAAAGTCCTTCACAACCTGGCCCCAATTTACCTTTCCAGCCTTTACTCCTCTTCCAGTAACTTCGGACCTAGCCAAACTAAGCTTCTTGTTATCCTCACCCCTCACTTCTCCATGTCTTTGCATTGATTGCCCCTCATGCCTAGAATGCTTTTCCTCCTCACACCTACCTCATAGAATCCCTTCTGTCAAGGTTCAGTTCAAGTTCAATATTCTACCAAAAACCTTTCCTATCTCCCTAGTGACTAGTGTCCTCTCTCCCTAAACTACCATGTATTTATTCTTCATAGATGTAATATATCTAGGTGTTGTCTCTCCTGTATATTTTCTTCAAGAAGAGAGTCAAAAGGCAGTGGGCACATCCAGCACTTTTATCAAAACTTACAGATAGGAAGTGACCAATTAATGGCATCATTGGTTTTAGAAGACTGTTTCCATTCATATACTCAGTTAATTAGAGCAAAGGTCAAAATGTACAACATATTAGAATAAAGGATAAATGAATGAAAGAGTGAAAATGCCTTTATTAAGCAATTACTATAAGCCAAGCACTGTGCTAAGTTCTGGGATATGGATAAAAAGTAATACAAACTGCAAACTGTCCTCAAGGAATTTATATTCTAATAGGGGGAAATAGCACGTATAGAGGAGTTGATAAACATGCCCTTTCCAAAAGCAACTGGAAGCATTGATTTGTTTGGGAGAGGGGAAAGAGGATACGCATGTGGTAGCAGGTGACATATCAAGAAGATGACTGAGACGGCATGTAAAGTGTGACTGAGGGTAGTTTCATATAGTGGGTTATGTAATTCAGTGTTTAATCAACAAGCATTTATTAAGCACTTACCCTGTGTGAGGTAGTCTGCTGAACACTAGAGATACAAAGACAGGCAAACAACAGTTTCTGCTTCCAAGGAGTATGCTTTCTAGGAAATAAGATATAAATAATTAGGTACATATGACATATGTACACAATAAATGTATATACATATATGCATATATGTATCAATTCCCCCTTGCCTATGCTTATCGGTTTTCCTGGTTTCCATATAGATATGGTTTTGATGGAAACTGGGGAGACCAAGAGGCATAGGTGAGGGGACAGAGCAGTCAAGGATTGGGGAACAGCCAACCCAGAAGGCATAAGAAGATGAAACATCATGTTTGAGGAACTTCCAGTAGGACAGTGTACTTGGCATGGAGAGGAGTAAAATGTGAGAAGACAAGAAAGGTGAGAAGGATCCAGGTTATAAAGAGATTTAAATGCCAAAAAGAGGACTTTATATTTGATCCTGAAGATAATAGAATAGCTCAAGTCCCAGCGCACAGTCTCAGGAGGTCTGGTGTTCCTATACCAGACTATAGCAGGCAGGATAAATGACAAGAAGATGGCTGAGGTAGAAACAAAAGGAGAAAAAGCTGGGGGTGGGGGAGAAACACTCTGGCTATCCCCCATGCCTGGAATGCTCTGCCTCCTCATCTCTGCTTACTGCCTTACCTGGCTTCCTTTAAGTCCCAACTAAAATTTCTTTTTTCTTTTTTTTTCTTTTTTTTAGGTTTAATTTTTTTTCTTTTTTTAAAAATTAATTTATTTATTTTTAGTTTTAAACATTCACTTCCACAAGATTTTGAGTTCCAAATTTTCTCCCCATCTTGTCCCTCCCCCCACCCCAAGATGGCATGCATTCTGAGTACCCCTTGCCGTAATCTGCCCTCTCTTCTATCTTCCCCCCTCTTCTCTTATCCCCTTCCCCTTCAATTTTCCTATAGGGCAGGATAGATTTCTATACCCCCTTTCCTGTATATCTTATTTCCCAGTTGCATGTGAAAACAATTTTTTTTAACTTTTGTTTTTAAAACTTAGGGTTCCAAATTTTCTCCCTTCCTCCCTCCCCACCCACCCTCAACTCGATATAGGTTATACATGTGTAGTTACAGCCAACTAAAATTTCTACAGGAAGCCTTTCCCAACCTTTCTTAATTCTAGGGCCTTCCCTCCATTAATTATTTCCCATTTATCCAATATATATACCTTGCTTGTATACATTTGTTTGTTCTCTTCTCTTTTAGATTGTAAGGTCATTGAGGACAGGGACTGTCTTCTGCCTCTTTTTGTTTTCCCTTGTGCTTAGCACAATGCATCTCATATAGTAGTTGCTTAATAAATGTTATTGATTGATAAATCATGTAAGCCTGATTTGAACAAGTTTTTATCTATGAAAAATGAGAAATGGATAAAAATAAAGATATGCTTTGTGATTATCATTATTTCTTTTTTTTTCTTTCTTTCTGGTGAGGCAATTGGGGTCAAGTGACTTGCCCATGGTCACATAAGTGACTCAAACCAGGTCTAGTTTAAGTCAGGATGAAATCAGGTCCTCCTGATGCCAGGCCCAGTGCTCTATCCACTGCGCCACCTAGCCGCCCCAATTATCATTATTTCTTAGAGAAGTTTAATGAACACATAATGGTTGTCAAAGTAAGGAGGTTAAAAGATCCCAAAAACTACTTCAGACAGTAAGTTATTCTCAAAAAATAAGAAATATTCTATCTTCTTTTATGAGACAAAAATAATCTTAAATAAATAACCTTAAAACCTAAAATATAAATATAAATATGTAAAGAAAATTATAAACCAATATTATTAAGTTATAAGTAAAATTAAAGCAAAAAGACAACAGCAATATGTTCAAAAAATCATTTGCTCTAATTTAGATTTATGCCAGGGATGCAATGCTGGCTCAAGACTGGCAAAACAAGATAATCATAATAAAAATAAGAACATTTTAAAACCACATGATTATGTCAAATAGGTGCAGAAAAAATACTGACAAAGTATAAGACCTATTTATGTTACCCAAAAAAACTATAAATCATAGGCCTTCAAAAAGTATTTTTATTTTTTTAAAAGTTTGCCTCTCTGCCAATTTTATTAATTTATTTATTTTTAGTTTTCAACACTCACTTCCACAAGATTTTGAGTTCCAAATTTTCTTCCCATCTTCTCCCTTCCCCCACCCCAACTTGGAGTGCATTCTGAATACCTCTTGCCCTAATCTGCCCTCCCTTCTCTCTCCCCCACCCCTTCTCTTATCCCTTTCCCCTTCTATTTTCCTATAGGGCAGGATAGATTTCTATACTCCATTGCCTGTATATCTTATTTCCCAGTTGCATGTGAAAACAATTTTTAACATTTGTCTTTAAAACTTTGGGTTCCAAATTTTCTAGAAGCATTTTTAATAGGACAAGAGATTGCATATGTGAGTGGGTGAGAGTAAGGAGTCAAGGATGACACTAAGATTAAATGCTTGGGTGACTTCCCTCACTAATAAATAGTAAATTTGTTTTTGTTTTTTTAGGCAATTGGGGTTAAGTGACTTGCCCAGGGTCACACAGCTAGTTAAGTGTCAACTGTTTGGTCTGAGGCTGGATTTGAACTCAGGTCCTCCTGACTTCAGGGCTGGTGCTCTTTCCACTGTGCCACCTAGCTACCCCAAATAGTAAATTTGGGAAGAATGGAGTGTTCAGGGAGAAAGAAAGATAATGAATTCTGTTTTGGACATTTTGAGTTTAGATGCCTACCACATGTCTAATTTGTGATATCTAAAAAGGCAGTTGGTTATATAAGATTGGGGCTCAGAAGGGAGATTAGAGCTAGATATGGAATCTTGGTGGCACAGTAGATAGAGTACCAGGCCTAGAGTCAAAAAGACATCTTCCTGAGTTCAAATTCGGCCTCAGAAACTTAATAGCTATGTGATCATAGGCAAGTCACTTAACCCTATTTGCCTAAGTTTTCTCATCTATAAAATGAGCTGGAGAATAAATGGCAAACTATTCTAGTATCTTTGCCAAGAAAACTCCAAATGGGGTCACAAAGCGTCAGACACAACTGAAATGACTGAACAACAACATGGTATCTTGGAATCATCTTTGGAGGCATGATAATTGAATCTACGGAAGCTGATGAGATCACCAAGCAAGATAATATATAAAGAGGGAGAAGAGTGTCCAGGACAGAGCCTAGAGTGACTTCGACATAATCTGTTCTCATGACCTGGATGAAGATCCAGTAAAGCAGACTGGAAAGTGGTCAGACAAGTAGAAGGAGAACCAGGAGAGAATAGTGGCATAAAAAAACTAGAGGGGAAAGACTTTCCAGGGGAAGATGCTGATGATTGACAGCCGCATAGAGGTCAAGAATGATGAGGATTGAGAAAAGCCATTTGATTTGTCCATTTAAAGGTCATTGCTTACTTTAGAGGAAGCAATTTCAGTGGAATGTTGAGGTTAGACTCAAATGAGAGAAGAGGATGCAAAAGCACCTTATGTAGGCAGCTTTCACAAAGAGTTTAGCCAAAAAGGGGAGGAGCTATAGGGTGATAGTAGGAAGGATCAGATTAGCAAGTATTATCTCTGACTTTTCCTTCTCCTTCACCTTTCGTATATAATCAGTTACCAAGTCCTCTCCAATATCTGTCCATAACATCTCTCTCAACTCTTCCTCTTCTTAATTCCCACTGGCCCTCACTACCACCTGCCTTGACTATTGTAATGGGCATTTCCATCTCTACTGCCCCTTTCCTCAATATATCCTTCATATTGCTGCCAACCTAATGTTCTTTATTCATAGGTCTATATCTCACTTTTCTGTTGAGACATCTCCAGTGCCTTGCTATTATTAACTTGACACAATTCAGAATTGTTTGGCATTCAAAGCTTTCCAGTTTGGTGACAGTCTACATCTCCAGCCTTCTCCTATGTTATTCTTCTTCATATACTGCATATTGCAACCAAAATTATTCTCAGTTCCCAGAAAAATCCTGGACTTCCTGTCTTTGTTCATGTTATTTCCTATACCAACATTATTTTCTGACCCCTTTTCAACTGTTAGAATCCCAACCCATTCTTTTGTTCCCTTTCTTTTTGAAGAATACTTTTTTTGAGACCTCTTTTATTTGCATCATAGTCATTTCTAGAAAGACCTCTTTTCCCCTCCCCCATTTAGATTTTCCTTGCAACAAAGAAAAACTACTAAGTTAAAAAATACCTAACAGTAACATCATGTGATAATATGTATATAACATTCTTCCCCAGAAGTCTCCATCTCTGAGTCCACTATTTAAAGGACAACTCAAGTGCTACCTTTTCCATGAAGACTTCCCCAGTTCTGCTTGTCAGTAACTGTCCCAATTCCTCCTGTATCTTCCTCTAGGATTTTAGTTTTTATTTTAATCATATATTTATCATGTGATATTCCATATTACAGCTATATGTGTAGGGCCCGTGCCTTTTCACTCCCAACCTACAGCACAGCGCTCTACACATGGTAGGCACTTTATAAATGTTTATTATTATTACTGAAGAGAAGTTAACCTTCTAGAGTCATAGAATTTGGAGCTAAAAGGACTTTAGAGGTCATCTAGTTCAGGGCTTCTTAAACTTTTTCCACTCCTGATCCCTTTTGACCCCTTTTTCAGTGGCAGCAATCCTTACTGTTGCATGGCCTGAGGGCATGCACAGTGCAAAGTGCGCATGCTTTGTGTTCAGAACGAAGGCTGCAGTGAAGTTGTTCCATGCAACATGCATGGGCAAGCACTACCAGAAACACCTTGGATTCATTACGTATTTGATTTTGAATTAAGTTTTGGTCGTTGCGCATTCAGAAACCTTTTACTATTGGTAAATTTTTCGCAACCCCTTCACAGTTGAAGAAGCACTGATCTAGTTCAATCTTGCTTTCCGGATAGGGAAACTGAAGCACAGATAATCGAAATGTTTGGCCAAAAACATTAATAAGAGCAGAGCCAAGATTCCAACCAGGTCTTCTGAATCGAAATCTATTGGCTCCTTCCATTTGTATAGAGTATACCCAGGAGAGCAACCCTAGAATTAGGTAAATGTTTCCAATAAGCAGCTTTCAGATCAGTAGAGATAAAAACAAAATGCTTTGAGCATTCCAAAAAATGCAATGGGGCTTCTATGTGAGTGAGGTAGTAACTTCCTGATCCTTGGGTATGTTCAAGCAGGAACTTTATTGCCAGGTTTAAGAAATGAGTAGAAGAGATTCCTGCAGTGGGAGGGGAGGTTGGATGAGAATGTCTAAAGTTTAGCATTCTTTTTGTTCTAAAGAACTTTTTAATTGCCTTCAACACCTAACTTGGTTTTGGACACATAGTAAGTGTCCAGTAAATATCAATTGATTGAGTAAATATAACTTATCATCAGTTGTAAGAGTCCAAAGGACTCTGTGATATTCATATTGGTGTCCCTAACATATTATGATAATAATAGGTAGCATTTATATAGAGCTTTAAAATATTAAAAGGTAGGTGCTAATATTATCCCCATTTTATGAATGAGGAAACTGAGGCAGACAAGTTAAGCAGTTTGCCCAGGATCACACAGGTAGTAAGAGTTGGAGGATGGATTTGAACTCAGGTCTTCCTTCCTAATACCAGGGGCCATTCTATGGGCTGCATCACCTAGCTGCCTCTACATAGTGCCTAACATAGTGCTTTGCAGATGCAAATCTCTCAGTGAATTTTTGATGAATGAATAAATGAATCAAAATTGAATAAATTCAAATGACGAACAGCTCAGCAGTATTTATCATGCAAATTACTTGCTGCACTTATCACCTCAACTTTGAACTTTTCTGTTGTGATTCTGTGTGACTCTTTGTCACATAGGCTTAGATTATTGTTTGTCCTTCATTTTTTTTTTTGGCTAGGCAATGGGGTTAAGTGACTTGCCCAGGGTCACACAGCTAGTAAGTGTTAAGTGTCTGAGGCCATATTTGAACTCAGGTCCTCCTGACTCCATGGCCGGGACTGTCTCCACTGTACCACCCAGCCGCCCCTGTCCTTTATTCTTGAAGAGTAACATGACATCAGGAAGATGATGCCATGACTTACAAATGAATTAGATTTAAGTGAAGGAGGGCTGTGCAAGGTCATCAGCCTCCCTTTCTCCTCTGGAGCCATCTGGGTCCAGTGGCAAGACATAGGTCAGAATGACTGGAGATGGCCCCCATGGGCTTAAAGCATGTTGCTGGAAGTATAGGAGATTAGCTGCATATGTTACCTTTTACTTTCCATGGATCTCATCTAAATATTTCATTTAATTTTATGAAACTTTTAAAGATGTCATTTCCCCCAAGCATATTTATATAGTCTTGTGAATGGCTGAAGGGAGGATGCCTGAGAATTTTACTTTTGTCTTTTCCCTACATTCCTTATAGGCATCTGCTTCTTAATTGAAGAGAATAAGTTACAAAACAAATATCTCTCCTGATTACCTGGGGTGTCACCTTTAGATGCCATGAGTCATTGCTCTTCCCTTCACAATCCAGCCAGATTTGTTTTCAAAGAATTATCAGCCTTGTCTTTGGCTTAAGTTTGTTAAAGCCAAGCAGCATTTATCATGCCAATTAGTAGTTAATCTGCTCCTTGTGTATATATTCTAAGGGTGTGGATCCTTTTCTCATTTAAAATGTAATAGCAAATTATGTAAGACAAGGAAAATTTAAGTAGTTACAGAAATAAGTTTTCAAGCTGAAACCACACCCTAGGACTTGAGCTGTCCTATTACCTCCAAGATCAAATATAAAGGCCTCTGTTTGGCATTAAGATCTCTTTATAACCTGGATCCTTCTTACCTTTCTTGTCTTCCCACACTTTTCTCCCCTCCATGCCAGGTACACTGGCCTACTTGAAGTTCCTCAAACATGATGATCCATCTTCCTTAGTATGCCTTTGCATTGGCTGTCGCCCAATCCTTGAATGTTCTGTCCCCTCACCTATGTCTCTTGGTCTCCCCGGTTTCCATCAAAACCGTATCTATATGGAAGCCAGGTAAACTGATAAGCATAGGCAAGGGGGCATTGATACATATATTTATATACATACATTGTATACATATACGTTGTATGTACCTAATAACTTAACCTTGTATCCTCTGCAAAGAAGGGAGCATGGTGCATTTTCTCAATGGAATTATTTTGAATGATTCTACAGCCTTCAGGGAAGTTTGAAAGGGAAAAAAAGAAGACACAAGTTTAAATACCACTTGACCTTTTTTTTTGAGAAATATAAGCTATCCAAATTATTCTTAAATTTTAAGAAGGCAAACAAAATTAGTGTTTGCTAAATGATTAATGTCTGTTACAATTGACATCATAAAATAAGTCAAATTTACGACACATCATAGTTGTATTTTTATGTGTTATATGTACACTTTATAGTACACTAGGGGCCTTATATAATGTTTACAATGGATTTATGCTCATTTTACAGAACTTTATAGTTTTTCTTATATTAAACCTTTACATGTTTTATGTCCCAGAAAAATGTAAGATCTGGAGGGGATTCATTTGTTTTTGTAATCTCAGGCTTTGTACATCACCAGTACTTATTAAGCATTTGTTAAATTGAAAGAAAAGTGAATTGGGCTGCGATTCTGGTGGCCTGGGTTCTCTTTCTGTCTATTAATGAGCTTTGTAAATTTGAATAAGTCAGTTCATCTCTTTGGGTCCTTTTCCTCCATTACTTCAATTATTTCTAACACTAAGCACTATGCCTAATCCTTAATAGGAGCCTAATAAATGTTCATTGATTAACTGTAGATTGATTCAGGCACAATCTTATAGTTTTGCATAATCAGAGGCAGATGTATAATTTGTCAGGGATTTAGTTTGTACTGAATGTAAATGCCAGTTGTTCTTATGGGAAATAAATGATCTACCTTATCATATAATTTTCATTTTGTTGAAAAGTGGGAATGTGTGGAAATATGTTTAGTATGATTGTACATGTATAGCTCATATCAGATTGCCGTCCTGGTGGGGGCGGGGGAAGGGAGTGAGGGGAGGGGGAAAAAAACTCAAAAACTTACAAGAGAGAATGTTGAAAACTATCTTTACATACAATTGGAAAAAATACTATGAAGTAGAAAAATATTTTTTAAAAAGTGGGGATGATCTGAACTCTGTGAATGTAAAGCAATTTTATGACAATCTCCTGTTTCATAATACCCATGGCTATAAAACTGAGAGGGCTTCCTAGAAATTCATTCATTCAGGGCCTTGTTTCCCTACCTCATTCTCACATTATCCTTGTATTTTGTCAGCAAAAAAAGAAAACAGCTGGGGAGTAGGGGTGGAATGTCTTGCTGAGATAGAAGACAAATTAATAAAACTGGAACAAATCAACTTCCTGCAAGTCTTCATCTAGAATGTAGGTTTTAAATAGTCTTCAGATATCACATAATTCTTGCAAACAGGAAATCCTTTCCAATAACTCATTGAAATCCATTCTGTCATAAGCCCACTCCTTCTTGATCATTCCCTGGGAACTTACTACCATACCACCATATGTAGGCTGTATCAGAGTCATAAAATCTTACAGTAGGAAAGAACCTCAGAGCCCATCTAGGCCAGTTGTCTCATTTCAAATATGTGGAAACTGAAGCTCAGAGAAATTAAGTGACTTTCCCAAAGATACTCAATGAATGCATGGCAGATCTAGGAGTAGAATGACCTGGCCCTCAGTCTTATGGTCTTTGTACCTTATTACATTGCCTTTCAGTTGAAGGTCATAGAAAATCTGCCTTCAGCCTTCTCTTCTTCAGGTGAAATAGTCCCAAATTATTTAGTCTTTCCTATTTCCTAGTACTTTATCTGACCTCTCTTTTATCACATTGCATTAGAAACAATTAGAGAGGATTCTGAGTTGTATATATCCTTAAAAGCCAGCTAACTATCTACTGAGTTATCTAAGAGATGACAGAGCAGGCATTCTTTTGAAGCACTCTCGCCCTGCTAACAAAAGGAGAAATCATAATGAAATCTTTCTACCATCAATTCAAACCAATAAGCACTTATTAAATACCTATTCTGTGGCTGGCACTGTACCAAGGTAGCACTGGTGTTACAAAGACAAAAATCATTTGTAATTTTGAGGAGAGTAGTTTCAGTTAAGTGATGAGGTTGGAAGGAGTGGATGTGGTATGAACAAATGAAGGCAATGAATTTTGATAGTCTTTTCTAGGAGTTTCTTAAAAGAAGGGGAAATATAGGATAGCTGGAGGAGATAGTAATGTTGTATAAAGATCTTTTTTCTTCCTTAAAGATGGGGGAGATTTAGGCATATTTTTAAGGAGTATCAAATACCTCAGAGTTAGAAGGCATCTTAGAGGTCATCTAATGTAACCCAAATATGAACGAGAATCCCCATTATAACATACCTAAAAAGTGGTCATCCAGTCTTTGAAGATCTGTGAAGGAAAACCCCCCTACTTCCAAAGGAACTCATTCCACCTTTAGATAGCTCAGTTAGGAAGTTTTCACTACATCAGTCCCATCTGATTGCTTGAATTTTCCACCCTTGCTTCTATGTCTGCTATCTGAGGATATGCAGATCATGTCTAATCCGTCTTCCAGACCATAGCTTTTCAGATATTAGAAGATTGTTCTCTTCTTCCTCTCTTAGTCTTCCCTTCTCCAGGCTAAACACTCCCCCCCCAATCCTAAACAGTTTGAACAATTATGACCATTTTAAGATTAGGGCTCAACCCAATCTGAAACAGTTTTTACAGTGTTGAAGAACTGAAGTCATCTGGACATATTCCTAACTGCTGAAAATTAGTATAACTCTAATAGAAATTGAACGTTAAATCTTGCAAGTTCTATTTCTCCTGTAAAATGAAGGGTTTGGACTAGGTAATTAGTGGTCCCTTCTAAGATCCTATTACTCTGTTGGTTAAGAAAATGAAGTGGGGATTTTTTGGAATAGTGGTGGGCTCCTCATAAGTCATAGGCTGATGGCATTTTAATTACAGGTTCATTGCAGAAGAATCTACTGCTGCTGGGGAAAAGTGTGTCCTCACCGACAGCCCTACCTGGATCATTGACCCTATTGATGGTACTTGCAACTTTGTACACAGGTATGCATAAGATCATGAGGAATCTTAAATTCCTGTTTGTAATTCTTTTTTTATAATAGTGGTTTCATTCTCCTAGAAGTAGTATTTTTTTTAGATTGAAATGTGTGAATAAAAAATTAGTAAATTATAGCCTGAATACTATTGACTCAAGCCCTATTTCTGACATGCAATGGCTATGTGAAATTGGGAAAATCACGTAACCTTTCAGTGTTCTAGGCAACTCCCATAAGACTGAGATTATATTCTACTCATTGTTAGGTGCGTTTTCATAATGTGAGTCACTTATCATCAAATTGTTTGGCTGCTCATCTATCCATAGGCATCTTTACAATTTACATGTGGAACTGTGCTGTATTGAATACAATTCAGTCCTATTTGGCAAACATTTATTAAGCATTTACGATGTGCAGGGCACCTTTATAGGTGCCATGAAAAAGATACTTCCTCCAAGTGGTTTACATTTACACTGGGCATACAGGGCTGAATACAAAAGATGCATCTAGAGGTCTTTGTATTCCATACAGGCTTCTAGACCATCCTGACTGAGGAAGTAACTTGGAGAGATAGCTTAAGAATCCAGGCATGAACTGAATTTAGGGATTGGCAGAGAATCAAAAGGCGATAAAAGCTATGGTTACATGAATTATACAGGTCCAAAGCCTCCAAAAGACTTTTGATGATTCATATACAAGATTTCCATCCTTTTTAGGGATCGTTGATATTGAGACACAGTGAGGCATGTCTGTCAGAATTAGCATTTAAATAATGGCTTTAGTTTTCAACATTCTTCTGGGAAGATATTCTGTACTTTTCTTTTATTGGCAAAAATGTTTATAATTCCCAAACTGGGATTTGGTTTTGTTTTTTCATTTAATTCAATTACTCTTAACCTTTTCTAGCCTTGCAGCCCTAAAATAGACACTAGTAAGGTTTTGAATTCCTAAAGCCTAACAGGAAGTTAAAATAGATAATGTTAATTTTAATTTGTGTAATTTACATTTATCAGTGATTATTCAAAGACCTTAAAAACAAAAAGCTACAACATAAAATGAATGGGTCAATTATGCATACAACTTTGCTGATGTGCAGGCTATGTATGAGACATAGCTTGGGTCTGTGGCTTCCTAGGATCCCAGCAAAGTATTAAATATGTAGAGCTGCTGAGCAATGATCCATCTCAAGGATGGTATTGTTGGCAGAGGGAGGCAGGCTAGCATTTTATCACCACTATTGTTGTAGTTGAGTAATGGCTGACCCCAGAGCACATCTCTTTTCCTACCTGGTACCTCCATACCCAGAAAACCTCTTCATTCACTCCCCCATACATTTGAAGAGTTTGTGGTGTTTTGTTCTATTTTGTTTTGTTTTTTGCTATTAGGGATCTGTTGTGGCATTTCATTGGGATATGATCTAAGGCATAAAGGTTTAAACTCCAAGATTTAAATAAATAATCCCTAAATGGCTACGTGTAATTGTGGTCTTTTGTTCTTGTGACAAACAATAACTCATACAGGATCAGCCAGTCAGTCAACTAGCATTAATTATAGGCTTACTATGTGCCAAGCACTGTGCTTAGTACTAAGGATACAAAGAAAGGTAAAAGACAGTGCCTTGTCTCAGGGATCCCACTATCTGATTTAGACCTAGAAGAAATATTAAAGGTCATCTAGTTCAACTCCCTTCATTTCATAAATGAGCAAACCAAGGGCCAAAATGGTGACTTACCCAAGTTCACATACATTCTCAGTGACAAAGCTGAAATTTGAACCTAGGTTCACTGACTCCAAATCCACCACTCTTCATACACTGCTTCATAATCTGATAAAAGCTTGGGTAATTGGTAATAGGGGGCAGCTAGGTGGAGCAGTAGATCAAGTATTGGACTTGGAGTCAGGAAGATTCATCTTCCTGAGTTCAAATTTGGCCTCAGACACTTACCAGCTGTGTTACCTTGGGCAAGTCACTTTACTCTGTTGTCCTCAGTTTCCTCATCCGTAAAAATGAGATGGAAAAGGAAATGGCAAACCACTCCAGTATCTCTGCCAAGAAAACCCCAAATGGGGTCACAAAGAGTCAGACACAACAGAGACGACTGAACAACAAATTGATATTTAATGTTTGCAAAGTCTTTTACATGAATTATTCTGTTTGAGCCATCTAATAACTCAGTAAGGTAAGTACTGAAAATATTACTCATTTTGAAGAAGAGGAGGCTGAGACTTTGGAAATTAAATGATTCATCCAGAGTTACTACATATGGTCAGGAATGGAAATAGAATGAAGGTCTTACTTGATTCCAAGCACTTATCCCACATCATCACTGCCTGGCTCAGATGACTTCTCTTCTTTCAAATTATTAGGAAATTATAACATGGTGAGCTGAGGATGTTTATCATGGAGGTGGTTTCCAAGATTCTAAAAGAGGGAAAAATTAAAAAGTAACAGTGAAGTGTTTGGGCACCCTTCCCACAATACTCTGCAGTGGCTGTTAGGGGCTTGCACATATATAAAGATCTTCAGGGTTTGTTTATATGAAAAACCAACATTTGGTCTTCTTTGCAGATTTCCAACAGTGGCAGTTAGCATTGGATTTGCTGTTAATCGAGAGGTATATTATGTGTATGTGTGTGTGTCTGTTGTATATGTATACAGAATGTGTTCCATAAGTGGGTAACCTGGAGTTGGCTCAGAATCATCCAACAATATAAAAGACAGCAGTAGTTATGTCTGTATCTGCTTGTTTAATCATCCTTCCTTGAAAGCTTTGTGTAGTTACAATCTCAGGACCCTGGCTCCAGTTTTCCCATAGGGATGTTCAATGTTGATGACTAAATCCAAGCATATGTCTCTCTAATGTGCAAATAAAACCCAGCACAGCAAACAAATCTAAACCTGTTGGAGTCAGGATAGAGTGGGGGGTGGAGGGGTAGGTGTAGCTTTTCAGTTTGCCTTTCATTCCCGCTTACTAGTAAGTACCAGCTAGCTTCTGTTTTTACTTGGGTTATATGGTGGCACTGTTAGGAAAATGATATTTATGAAACCAGTAAAAAGAAACTCACAATTGGCTTGCCACAAACAGAAAAATTTATATTAATTATTCAATCACCAAGCATTTACTAAGTGTAGATTATGTGCCTGGGTACTATACTAAGCAATGAAGATACAAAGACATATGAAACAGTTGCTGTCCTCAAGGACTTTACATTCTATTGGGAAAGACATAGACTCATATATGTATATGTACACATATAAATATATACATATATGTTCATATATAAAAAAATACAATGTAATTTGGAAGAATAAGACACTAGTAGCTGGGGAGACCAGAAAAGGTTTTGTGTAGAAGGTGGTAGATCTGCATTTCCCTGGTAATTTATATTTATATAGTGCTTTATGTGCAAATTATCTTCATAACAAACTTATGAAATGTAGATAGAAAGTAAAAATCATAGTATATAATTATTGTAGAGTTAATGAGAAAATTGAATCAATGGAGACCTTGAGACTAATAGAAAGCTAGGTGGCATAGTGGATTGAATGTGAAAATGGAGTTAAGAAAACCTGAGTTCAAATCCAGACACAGGCACTTAATAGTTGTATAACCCTGGGGAAGAACTCTGTCTGTTTGCCTCAATTGCCTCATCTTTAAAATGGTAATAGTAATAGCATCTACATCATAGGGTTATTGTGAGGATAAAACAAGAGATCTATAAAGCACTTTTCAAACCGTGAAGTGCTATGTAAATACTAGCTGTTATCATCATTATCAGTGCTGTAGATTTTCCCCTTCCTGGCTTCCCTTGTCTCCTCATATACAAGTTTTATTATCCCATTTTAAAGATAAGGAAACTAAAGCTTAGAAAAGCTAAAGTACTTGGCCAATATCACAAACTGTAAAGAATAATAACAATACTAACCCCTATAGATATAGGCCAATTACTTGTTTGTATATGTTACACAATGCATACTATAACTTAAAAAAATTTTATAAGTTAAGAAAAAATATATATATTGACCAAGGAACAAAAAAAAACTACCAAAAAGTCCCAGAACTGCAAAGAATGACATATAATTAATGTAGTAATTATTGAGCAAACTAACTGAAAGCACCATAATATTTATTCTATAAGTTATTACGAAGCCTTTGACTCAGTTCTACACTCATAGTTTATTCATGCACTGCAAAAATATAAAATAGAACTTACTGCACTGAGGATGTTTGTTGTCCCTATGAAAAAAAAAATGTTTTTCATTTAAAACACACCACTAACAAAAATGCTGAGAATAATTGATATAAAATATGGCATCTTTCAGAGAGTCAGTTGAGTCCCTTATGGTTCTAACTTATCTTAAACCCATCATTATAATATTATTACCATTCCTAAATTACTATTCCTAAAGTATGGCTTCTAAGTTAAAGAGGGAGTCATACATTCCAAAAGATCTTTTTTTAAAAAAAATTATTTTATAGAGAGAGGTAGTTTTGGCTTCAGAGACAAAAAGACCTGGGTTCCAGTCCTACTTCTGACACATACTGTCAGTATAACCCTGAACAAGTCACTTAACCTTTCAATGTTCTAGGCAACTCCTTAAGACAATAAGTTGCAGAAAATGTGCTTACCTGCATTGGTAGAGGAAGTTTCCTTATCCTGGAATTTGCTATATCAGTGAAACAGGATCAGTCCTTATCCCTGGCTTTTGCTTTTCTATCACCTGCATTTTCCAATGTAAGAAATTCTACCTCCTTCTTCTCAGAAAGCTATGCCTTAAAACAAAGGAGAAAAAAGAGGGAAAAAAAGAAACCAGTTCAACAAAACTAACCAAGACATAAGACTGACGTTATCTTCAGTATTCCACATCCATGGTCCCAAAGGGAGACCCTGACAAAGAAGGGAAGGAGCTGCTTTCTCATGTCTCTTCTTTGACATTAAGCCTGGTCACCATAATTTCTCAGCATTCAGTATCAATCGTTTTGTCATTATTCTTTCTAGTTTGTAGTCATGTAAGTTGTTTTCCTGATTCTATTTGCTTTGCTTTGCATCAGTTTATATGTCTTCCCATATGTTTCTGTATTCATCATATTCAACTTTTTCTTTTTTTTTTTTGTTACAACAATGTTTCATTACAACTTGTTAGCCAGTCCTGGATCAATGGGAATCTTCTGTGTTTCTAGTTCTTTGTTGCAACAAAAATAGCTACAAATATTTTCGTATGTTTAAGGCCTTTCTTCTGTCATTGACCTACTTGAGACGTATGCCTAACAGTGGAATCTTTGAATCAAAGGGCATGGAGATTTTACTCATTTTCTTTGCATAACTCCAAATTGCTTTTCAGAATGGTTGGACCAATTCTCAGGGTTCCTGTCAGCACATTAATATTTCCCCATTGACTTCTCCTATAATTTGTCATCTTTGCCAGTTTCCTGAATGAATGAATCCTCAGGGTTGTTTTGATTTGCATTTCTTTTATTATTAATGATTCAGAGCATTCTTTCATATGGTTGTTAATCATCACATCAAAACATCTTATTAGTCTCTTGATGTATACATAGATGTCCTTAAGTTATGTGACTCTAGTGAAAAATAATTTAGACAGCTTCTCCATTTTGTGAAATCTTTCTCCAATGACTTAAAATATCTATTTTGACTTGATAAATATAAAATTCTTAATTTACACTAAAATTAAATACTGAATTCTTGGATTTGACTTTGGATGTTAAATTGAGCCAAGGATGAAGGTGATACTTAAAACACCTTGGTGTCCATCCAGGTAAGACAAATAAAGCATCACATCATCAAGGAAAAGCAGTGGCTATCTGTATCAAGGGACTTAGTACCATCAAAAATCAAGACTTAATGGAAAGAACATATTTAATATAATTAATATCTATATCATTCTAGTCTGAGTATATAGTTTTTGGAACTTCGAAATGGACTATAATAGATTTGGAAAGTATACTATCAAAACCTCTTACAATATTAACAAAACAAAGGACACATCACCTTAAGGTGTCTAAGATAGAGGAGTGATAGATGTTCTCTAAGTGTATGACAAACTATTTAAAAGCTTAAGGAAATAATATTGGAACAATCATGTCATTAAGCAATAGTAGAAGTTGACACATCTTAGCTATTTCACAGGTTTAGATTCAAGAATGGAATCAAAAAGTTTGCCATGGGGCAAAATGAACTTCCTAAGATATTTCAACAAAAAAGGGTTGAACAAATAACTAAGTCATATGGATTTGTTTATAGAAATGAAGAGATTTATGATAGTAATTTGGACCAGGTCATTACTACCAACAGTTATAGATATATCCTTAAGGAGTCTGAATTTATTGTGAAATACCAATTATACAAGGAAATCATAAAAATTATACCACAGGTAGCAGAAATTTAGCAACTACTTAATTCTTAGCAAGACGTGATCTTGTGGCTTCAATTATACATAGAAACTCACTCTTTCATGTAATGAAAGATGACAAATCCCAATACTGCAAATATAGACCTTAAAATTACCTTAAAAATTCAAAAAATAAACAATACTGGAATCATTTCCCACAATCACTCAAATATAGCATTGATACATAAAAATACAAAAGCACCATTTCTAATTGATATAGCTATATCATATTCATAACCTCCAAACTACATAGAATGAAAAACTTTCAAAATATAGACACACCTTTTTAAGGTATATCAGGAATTGATTCAAATTTATAAGAATAAGAGCCATTCCCCAATTGATTAATGGTCAAAAGATATGAACAGTCACTTTTCAGAGGAAGAAATTCAAGCTATCAACAGTCACATGAGAAAATGCTCTAAATCACTAATAATTACATGAATGCAAATTAAAACAATTCTGAGGTTCCATATCATACCCATCAGATTGACAAAGTTGACAAAGAAGGAAAATGACAAATACTGATGTGGCTATGGAAAAGCAAGTACTTTAATGCATTTTTGGTGGAGCTATGAACTGGCATAGACATTCTGAAAAGCAATTTAGAAGTATGCCCAAATGTAATTAAACTGTGCATACCAGAAATACTACTCCCTGATCTAAACCCTCAAGAGATCAAAGAAATAGGAAAAGAAACTATATGTATAAATATATTTACAGCAGCTCTTTTTATGATAGCATAGAATTAGAATCTAAGGAGCAAAAATTGGGAAATGGCTAAATAAGTATAATATATGAATGTAATGGAATGCTATTATGCCATAAGAAATGATGAAAGAGATGGTTTCAGAGAAACCTGGGAAGACTTGCATGAGCTAATTCAGCTAAGGGAGCAGAACCAAGAGAACAATTTATATAACAACAACATTATTGTAAAGACAAACAACTTTGAACTCTGACTTTTTAACTCTGATCAATGTAATGACCAACCACAATTCCAGAGGACTCATGATCAAGCATGCTACCTATTTCCTGTCAAAGAGATGATGTAGTCAGGATGCAGATTGAGACATTTTTTTGAATATGGCCAAGAAGTGAATTTTTTTTTTACTTGACTATATACATATATATTTGTAACATGGATTTTGTTTTCTTTTGGGGGGAGAGGTAGGTAGATTTTCATTGATTGAAAAGATTGCTTTAAATATAGAGACCTAACAGAAGAAATCAAGGTAAATAGAAAGGTTATTATAACAGTATATTTTGGAAGGGAAAACACATATACCAATCATACTCCTGGATATAAGTTGCATTAATTCACTCACAAAATGGAAGAAGGTGGCAGAATGGCTTAGAAAGCAGAATACAATAATATGTTTGTAAAAGCACGCCTGAAACTTTAAAAATTCATATGGAGTTAAAATGACCGGCTGGAGTAGAATCTATTATGCTTCATGTAAAACAAAAACAAAAACAAAAAAACATAAGTGGCAACCATGTTCTCAGGAAAGGCAACAATAAAATAGACATGGTTAAAAGAGGTAAGCAGAGGAATTACAGTATGTTTACAGGCACAAAAGAGAAGTGAAATTATATCAATACTGAATTTAAATGCATGAAAGAGTTTAGTATCTAAATATATAAAGGCTAATTGAACTATAGAGACAAATATGCAGTAAAACAAATAATTATAGAGGATGCCAATATGCCCCTTTCAGATTTAGATGAATATAACAAAAAGATAAACAATAAAGAAGTTAAAGATCTGAATAAAATTTTAGAAAAATACATGTAATAAACTTCTGATAACTTCTGAATGGGAAATAGAAAGCACATACACTTCCTAAACTTTGCATAGCACTTCACAAAAATCAGCAATGTACAAGGTTATTTTAAAAGTCATGAATAATTACAGAAAAGTAGAGATTCTTTACTAATCACAATGCAATAAAAACTATAATCAAAAATGGTCATTTGAAGAAAAGGTTTCAGACTTAGCAGACCAAATAATAAAATCTGAAACAACTCTCCAGTGTATTGAAAGAACAGTGATTTCTAAGTCACATAGAAGAGAAATTACACTTGATTTTCTTTACTTTAGAGGGTGGAATGAAAAGCAATGGTTGGCAATAACAAAGAGGTATATTTAGACCTAATCTAAGAGGAGATTTAGCAATCTTAAAGTGGAATTAGTGTGGCACTAGAGACAGTGTTTCCTCCCTTACCTGAGGTCTTTAAGTAGCATACAAAAGATTGATAACCTCTTGAAATGCATGTTCTGAAGCAGTTTTTCTTAATCTGGGATCCATGAAGTTATTTTTGAAAAATATTTTGGTAACTACATTTCAATAAAACTGGTTTTCTTTATAATCCTATGTATTTTATTTTATGAATTTAAAAACATTTCTGAGACGGGGTCCATCAGCTTCCTTAAATTGTCTAAAAAGTCCACGATACATAAAAGGTTAAGAACCTCTGATGTCTTTGTAATGCAGATACATTCAAGAATGGGCTAGACTAGATGGCCCCTATGACCCCTTCTAATTGTGAGTCTGTGAACCAGTATAGGATACAGGAGAAATGTCAGAGAGGTAAGAGGAAAATCAGGAGACAGCAGTGTCATGAAAAGCAGAGAAGAGATAATAGCCAGAGTTTCAAAAAAGAGGTCAAGGAGAATGAGGGGGAAGGAAAAACCCATGCTGATTTTGAAGAAAACAGCAAAAATGAAACCCAGGAAAAACATGCTAATGATGATGCATGTCTTTCCTTTTTTTTTTTTTGGCAATTGGGGTTAAGTGACTTGCCCAGGGTCACACAGCTAGTAAGTGTCAAGTGTTTGTTCTGAGGCCAGATTTCAAGTCAGGTCCTCCTGACTTCAGGGCCAGCACTCTATCAACTGCGCCACCTAGCTGCGTCATCATTTGTGAATTGTTGAGAGAGAGAGGAAGAGAGAGAGAGAGAGTAAAACGTGAAGCTCGTGTTCTAATGGGAAAGACAACACATATAGAAGGTTTCATCTGCAAGTCAGATGAAAAATCCCATGATCCTTAGGGTATTGTGACAAAGTATGTATTAATGCTTCTTCTTTAATATTATTTTTGCTGATGAAATGATATCAGTTTCTGACGTTGAACCATTTAACAGTGCCAAGGACTTTGTAGCAAGAACTTTCTTTTCTGGATCTTAAGTAGCTGTGGCTGTAGCACGTACAGCAGCAGTTGCCTGGCTATGTCTCCTTTTCCCATTTGTTTGATCTCTTTGGGATATAGCCCTAGAAGTGCTATTGCTGGATCAAAGGGTATGCAATGCCTGGCTATATCTCTAAAGGGATTGCTTGATGTCTGATTGCAGTGGGGTGGATGCATTGCTACTCCCAAGAGCTAATAATTAAGACAAGTAGGAGTAAGGATAGGTACAAGACACATGTCATTGGTACAAGGAACTCCCAGATGAGGAAATTCCTTCAACCAGTGTAGGTCAACACCTTCTCTGTAAGTCAAATCCTTTGAGTTGTCTGGGACCCTGAGAGGTTAAATGCCTTGCTGAGGATCACACAGCCAGTATATGTCAGAGGCATGATTTGAGCACAGGTCTTTCTGGCTCTGAGGTTGGCTCTCTGTTCACTATGCCATGCTGTCAAGATAAGAAAGAATGTTAATGTTGAAATGGAAAAAAAAAGAATTGATTATTTGTGTTTAAAATATTATACTTGACACAACAGTATAGTGTGCAATTTCAATAAACAAAATGAAGTATATAACATACTAAACACCTATAGGAAAGATACTGAGTCAGCCAGGTCATCAGAAGACACTTTACTGTGCTATAATTTAAGTTTTATAGGAGCAGTGTGGGCATCTAGGTGCCACAGTGGATAGAGCACCAGGCCTGGAGTCAAGAAAACCCAAGTTCAAATCTACCCTCAGACACTTACTAGCTGTGTGACCCTGCATAAGTCACTTAACCCTATTTGCCTCAGTTTCCTTATCAGTAAAATGAGGTGTAGAAGGAAATGGCAAACAACTCTAGTATCTCTGCCAAGAAAACCCCAAGTGGTGTCACAAAGAGTCGGACATGACTGAAAAATGACTGAGCAAAAAGTAGCAGTGAAAATAGCCTAGACTTGAAAGTTTTGTAGTCTTTTCACAGCAGTTTCGCAGAGCTGATTGATGCCTTCTTAATATTCTGAGTGACTTTTTGAAAGCAAGTGTAATAGATTTCCACAGGAAGCCCCACATCAAACCTTCTACAGTGCTTAAGTGTTTTAGTGAACTTCCCTTGTCCTCCCTACCCATACAGGCATTATCTGGTTCAGGCTTAGACTCCAGATCACAAGACTAGGCCATCCCCTCTGATCCAGAGAAAGGCTGGAATTGGAGCCAAGTGCCAAAGGTCTCTAAGAGGCCAAATCAATTCTAGGCCTGATCTGTGTGTGTGAGTCTGCTGTGGTACAAAACTGAGAGTTAGCTTACATTTATGACTCTTGGGTCAGGCCAGATCTACTCTAGATTGAATACCACGGATCAACCATAGAGCGAAAGTGACTCCCTGTGGGTATCCTAGACCAAGACTTGGACAGAATAAGTATTTGTTTTAGTATGGACTCATTCCAAACTGGACAAAACCAGAAGAACTTCTGAGGTTTGTTGGCCTCTCACCACATATTAGACTTAGACATTTCCATATTTGCTTTTAGGGTGTGACAGACTTTCTTGCCTTCCTTTACACCTGCCTTATCAATGCCCTCTACCTTGAAAACAAAGGGAGAAATGTGTCCAAAGCATGTTGACATAAAACAACTTTATCATTTTCTATTTCTTTTCAGGATATTAGGAGGTTTTTCTTGTGACTGGATTTTTAGCCCTTTGACTAGAGGAGACATTCATATCTCCTTATTACTTCTCCCTCCTTGTCCTCCTCCTTACTTCCTCCACCCAACACCTTCATAGGGCTGTCTTTGTACTTTTGTGACTCTTTGTTGACATTTCAATAACATTTTCTATGTTATGGTTGGCAATAGGGGTACATTCTTCACACTTCAGCAATTCTAAGGGCATTTAGTCAGCAACTTTCTTTTTAATAGGAAAAAAAATGAGATGTTTCTGAAGAATGTAAACTTTGCAAGAAATTTGTTAAGAAATTTATTGGTTATTTTGGCAGTCAATAGTCAGTAAACATTAAATGCCTATTATGTGTCAGGCACTTTGCTAGCACTGGTAAGCCCTGCTGTCAAGGAACTCATAGCCTAATAGATGATCAGACTAGAATTGGTCTAATTTTGTCTTCACAGAGCATCTTAAATGTGAACTTTATGCTTTTTGAGAATCCCAAAAACTTGTCTCCGTGACCCTCCTCTAATTTTTCAGTTCCTACTGAAATTTATGAAAGTCAACTTATATTTTATTTATCACAGTATTATTCCCAACCATATCTTTGTAATCACCATCATTCATTTCCCATTTGTTCTGATGAGATATTAATTTTACTAACCTTCCTTTTTTTTTCTTTTAAAAAAATTATAGCTTGAATTTGGAGTGATTTACCACTGCACTGAAGAACGACTATACACTGGCAGACGGGGTCAAGGGGCATTTTGTAACCAACAAAGGCTTCGAGTATCCAGAGAGACAGGTTGGTCTGGGCTTTGTTCATTGAGTTTGCATTTTGATTGAGGAAATGGGAGAGGAACATGCTTATTTTGACACCTCTCATAGAAAAGGAACTGCATTACAATGATTGAAATCTCTGCTATGGCTTGTTGATTCAACTCTTTTCTGAATTAGTTTGTCTCCAACAAGCTGGTGATCAAGCCAGTTCTATATTTTAAAACAGAATTTTGCCAACTAGCCTTATACAGGTTCAACCTACTTTGATTTCTTTCAGATCCCTCTATGCCTTCCTCCATGTAAAAGCCTTCTCCTATAACAAATAAATCTCATCAAAACAAATCAAAACATTGGCCATGTCTGAGAATACACACTTGTTTCGATTCCTGTAATCTGTCACCTCGCTATCAAGAGATACCAGATATATTTCATTATTGTTCTTTTGAGATCATTTTTGGCTGGCTGGTTTAGGTAGAGGTAGGAAGGAACAACTACTCATTAAACACCTTCTATGTGCCAGGAACTGTTCGAAGTGGTTTACAAATATTATCTCATTTGATCCAAATTCTGAAGTCTTTCAGAGGAGTTAGAGATTTGCCTGTAATCCGTTCTCCTGGTTCTGCTCACTTTCCTCTGCATTAGTTCATATAAATCTTTCCATATTTCTCTGAATCTGTCACATTCCTTATTTCTTATGCCCCATAAAATTCCATTGTTTTCATATGCCACAATTTGTTTAGCCATGTCTCAGTTGAATGGTTTCTATTTTGTTTCCAGTTCTTTGCCACATCAAAAAACACTGCTGTAAATATGCCTGTATATTTAGAAGTCCTTTTCTCAGTCCTTAATTTCTTTGGGATACCTACTAAGTCAAATAGTATGTAACAAAGTTTGGGGTAGAGTTCCAAATACTTTTTCCAGAAGAGCTGAACCAATTTACCATTCTAACAACAGTACACTACTTGGGGGAGCATAAGCATTTATTAAGCACCTACTATGTGCCAGGAATAAGCACTTTACAAATATTATCTCATTTGATCCTCACAGCAACATTGTGAGGTGGGTGCTATTATGATCCCCATTTTACAGTTAAGGAGACAGAGACAGCCAGAGGTTACATGACTTGTCCAGGGTCACAGAACTAATAAATATATATCTGAGGCTGAATTTGAACTCAAGTCCAGTTCTCTATCCACTGAACCACCTAACTTCACTAATATGCCTGTCCTCTCACTAGTCCCTCCAGGAATCGCCTGGTTCAATCTATTTTGAGCTTATAATCTCTCATCTTCGAGATCAAATAAAAATCTACCCACCAATACTGATTTAGTTATTAGTGCTGTTGAACAGAAGTCAGACTCTGCTTAAATCAACACCTTGGTGGGGATGTCAGTGGCAGATGCCCATTATGAAAGTTTATTAGTGACAACCGCTCTTAATCTGAACAATTTGTGATGATTTAGGCAAGGACTGATCAGAAACTTAGCTTTTTTTCTGTAATTAAGATTTTTTTATGTAAAATATATGAGCAAGATTAGACTGCAAGTTTAAAGGATTGAACCATTTTAGGGGGTTTTAAACATTTTTTAAATCTTCATGTAGTTTATATAAGCTCTGAGGTATCCATTACCAGCTCCTCCTAACAAGTTCCCACACCTAGGCTACCAATCACTCTCTCTCTCTCTCTCTCTCTCTCTCTCTCTCTCTCTCTCTCTCTCTCTCTCTCTCTCTCTCTCTCTCTCTCTCTCTCTCTCTCTCTCATATTCTCTCTCATTCTCTCTCTCTTCCCCACCTCCTCTCTCCAGTAGAGTCAGTTAGGGCTGGGAGATCCAGTCTCGGGCTTATCTACACCAATAAATATTCCTAACTGCTATGTGTAATCAGTTTTGTCATTCCTGGGAAGGTTTGGGAAGGTTCCTACCCCTCCAGGGAGAGGCTTGAAGAGTCCTGACATGCTGTGCAGATAGGAAGAGAGAAAGGTCAAGAGGATGGAGTCACTTCCTTTAAGGTCTAGTACAAGGGTGGCTCTTCCTAGGGTAGTGGCCAATTATGAAGCAGCTACCTCCATTAGATGCCCTTATGGGGGACCAAAGAACCACCCAGGGTTCACTGTATCATCCTGAGGCACTAGGTCTTTTAGCCCTGATTCAACACACATGGCACCCTGGAAAGACCCAAGACAGATGTGATGCCAGAAGAAACCCAACTCCAAGCATGCTCCATGGAGTTATTTTCCAGGAGTTCTTAACCTGGGATCCATGAACTTACACATTTTTTTCTAACTGTATTTCAGCATAATCGGTTTCCTTTGTTCTTGTGGCTGTTACTGTTTTTGAGATCGGGGCCCTTTGTCTTACCCAGGTTGAGAATCTGGTCTGGTCCCAATACTGATTGGCATGGAAGTTTTAACCTGCTCTGTTTTTCCTGAACTGGGCTCATTCACCCATTCTTGAGCCGCATATTTCCATCAGTTCCCAGGAGCTCACCATATTGATGCTGGACTTAGTGCAGACACCTGATGGATCACTTTCGATTCTACTGCAGGTCAGAATTCATGGACTCAAGCAATCCACCAGCCTCAGTCTCCCCAGAACTAGGGGACTACAGGTTGTGCCATGATGCTAACTGGTTTACTTTGTAATCCTATTTTTTGTGTGTGCATTTAAAAACATTATTCTGGGAGCAGCTATGTGGTGCAGTGGATAGAACACCAGCCCTGGAGTCAGGAGGACCTGAGTTCAAATGTGGCCTCAGACACTTGACACTTACTAGCTGTGTGACCCTGGGCAAGTCACTTAACCCCATTGCCTATCCAAGGTTGGGGGGGGGAACACACATTATTTTGTAAAGGGCTCAGCAGGCTTCACCAGATGGCCAAAGAAGTCCAAGACCCAAAAAACAGGTGAGGAACCTCTGGGGCTCCAGCTGGAGTCCATGGAGGGGCTGGGCCTTCCTCTCACTGCAGGGATTCCACATAGCAACAAGCATTCTCAGTTTCAGCAATTCTGTTTCCACATCCCACTCCCACTTGCTTTCTTAATGATTCTCTCTCTGGCTTCCTCTTCGATATTCTTTTCCCCACCTCCCTTCCCGAGGCCAGAGGACAAAGGCATTTATTGTAATAGATGGTGCAATGGACAGAGCACTGGGCACGGAGTCCGGAAGACCAGAGTTCAAATTCAGCTTCAGACATTTAATAGTCGTGTGACACTGGGCAAGCCATTCAGTCTCTGTTTGCCTCAGTTCCCTCAACTGTAAAATGGGAATCATAATAGTGCCTTGTTGTGAGGATCAAATGAGATAACATTTGTAAAATACTTAGCACAGTGCCTGGCACGTATAGATGCTCTATAAATGCTTGTTCCTTTCCCTATCCCCTTATCATCTGAGGAAGCAGGAGGGCACTGTTTCTTCAGTCCTGCAGCCCCAGACAAAAATGTGTACTAGAATTTCCAGGACCACCTTCCCAAGGAAGGTGTTTGGTTGCTCCAGCTGACCCCCTGGACTGCTACTTTGAGGGTGGGGATCCAGAAGCTTCCATTGTGCTGCAGCCACATAAGTACATTAAGGCAAATGCAACTCCTCAGTCTCTTTGGCACACAGACTTCCTGTTGTGTTCAGTTCTCTTTAAACCACTAGCAGCCTACCATTGTGAATTTTGTGAGTAATACTTGGTGGGTAATTATCATCCCCTGCAGGGAAGAATTTCTTACTTTCATGCCAGCTAGTAGCACTACCCCCTCACTTTCCTATACTACCCTGGAATATGATTTACACTCCCCTTAGGTGCCTATTCCTTTTCCTCATTCCTCTCCACCCTGTTTTCTGTGGACCTAGCCCCTTCCTACCTTTCCAGGCTACATGCTTGCTGGTCCTTAGACATAGGACTCCATCTCCTGACTCCAAATGTTTTCTGTAGCCGTACCCAGGGCCTGGAACACTCTCCTTCCTCATCTCTCCACCTCTTGGCTTCCTTCGAGTCTCAGCTAACATCTTACTTTCCACAAGAAGTCTTTCCCAGTCCTCTTTCGTCTTAGGACCTTCCCTCTGAACTTACCCTCAATTTATCCCGTATTTATCTTGTTTGAACATAGTTGTTTGCATGTTGTCTCCCCCATCAGACTTTGACCTTCTTGAGAGCAGGGACTGATTTTGCCTTTCTTGGAATCCCCAGACCTTAGCACAGTGTAGGGATTTAATAAATGCTAGTTGATGACTGACTAACCCAAGCGTGAGGAACCTACGGCCTCAAGGCCACATGTGGCCTTCTAGGTCCTTGAGTGGGGCCTTTTGACTGAGTCCAAGTTTTACAGAACAAATCCTTTTATTAAGGGGATTTGTTCTGTGAAGTTTGGATTCAGTCAAAGGGCCACCCTTGAGGACCTAGAGGTCCACATGTGGCCTTGAAGCCATAGGCTTCCCACTCCTGGACTAATCTCTATTTCATATCTTCTCTTCTCTGCCGCTAAACACCAAGGACTCTCTCATACCTGTTGTCTAGCCTTCTGGTTGTCCAAAAGTATCCACTATAGCCAACCCTCAGATCTGACATCTCTTATATGCTTTCTGCAACAACCATACCTTTCATTCTTGCCTTTCCCCACGTTAAAACTTCTGTTCCCTCAGGCATCTCAGCTAGATGTCAATGAAGCAAAATTATTGAGCTAATTCACACTAAAGGATGAATCACTGATCTTCTTATCTTACAGATGACTCTGATAGAAAATTTATAGTGTTTTTGTAATATTAGGAGGAATTTTTGGCAGGAAGCATTCTTTTCAATTACACCACTTAGCTTACTTCCCTTAAGTCTGCATGGCAAAGAAGGGAAAGTTTTTAATCTATGTCTCCAGGAGTAACTCTGCAAGCATCCTTCACTACTGGAGGGAGTATGGAGAAGTCAGTCTTTTCATCTTTCCTGCCTCTCATTACCTTCCTTCCAGACCCAAGGTCTGGGATGCCCTGTCCAGGTGGTATACTGGTGAGTAAACAAAAAACAATTGGCTCATTTAAAAAAAAAAACTCAGGTCAAATTTTAAAGTTTAGCTTGCATTGTTAACATTTTCTCTATCATTTCCTTAGGTCTAGAAAATCAATAAAACAAAAAAATCAACCCCTGATTTGTAGTGTTTGCCTGTTTCTGAAATATAAATGCTCACTGATTCCAGCACATCTCTACTCAGTCTAATCTCTATTTTCAATAAGGGAGAAGAAGCAATTCCCACTACAGAGGGGAAGGAGCTGCCCTGTTGTAAATTGAATTAGACCCCAGCTCCTCTCCTGTGCTAGCTCTCAGTCCCTAGGAACAGTTGCAGGCATCACCTTCTTGATCTCCTATCTTCCCTTATTCCCCTTGACATTGTACTGTCATGGTTCTCCTTCCACCTATCTACCTACTCCCCCCACTCCTCTCTCTCCCTTCCTTCTTTCTTCTTCTTCCTCTTCTCCTTCTCCTCCTTCTTCTTCCTCCCCCCTCCCCCTTACTCCCCTCCAAAACCTATCCAGGGTTTTGTCCTTCCCTCCTCCCCTCTCCTCATTTCCTTCAAGGACTAACTCAGCTGATACTACTATTTCTCCAAAGTCTTTCCTGACACCCTTGCTATCCCCCCATTCCCCAGACATTAGCAATCTTCCCCTCCTCAGATTTCTTAACCTGCTTTACTTATACTCCTTTACACTGATCTCACTCTCCCATGAATCATATATAATAGCATTCCTCCCCATTTGATTGTAAACACCTTTAGATCTGAATTTGGGTTTTATATATCATACCCCCAGCACTTAGTGTACTATCTTGAGCATAATAGGTGCTTAATAAATATTTATTTAATTGAATTGGAAGAGGTATGAAGGGACAGAAAAGGGAACACACATTTATTATGTGTCAGGCAAATTTTATTTCACTTGATCTACCCAACAACCCTGGGAGGTAGGTGCTATTATTATCTTCTTTTTACAGTTGAGGAAACTGAGGCAGACAGATTAAGTAACTTGCGCAGAGTCACAAAGCTAGTAAGTATCTGAGACTAGATTTGAATTCAGGACTTCCTGACTCAAGTATGGGATTAGGCAGTTTTACTTGGCACAAGGAGTCAGAATTAGACTAGGAGCAAAAGATGGATATCATAGAGAGGCAGAATCCAGCTGGTTCTATTAAAAAAAAATAAACTTTCTAATAATTAGAAGTATTTAAAAGTGGAATTGGCTGCCAATTGGAGACTTCCAAGGTTGGATGACTTTATCAGGGATGTTGTAGAAAATTTCTGCTCAGGTGCAGGTTAGACAAAATGACCTCTGTGATCCCTTCTAGCTCTGAGAGCCTAGGATTTTATATTAAAGCTTTTTAATACCTTAAAACTGCACTAAGATTTTGGGGACACCCTCTATTATGTCTAATTTAACTTCAAAATATGTGACTTGACTTTTCCCTGATGCAGTTTTATTACTAATATTATGCATACACTTAATTTAGGTTAATTTTGGGGTCACAGATGGAATGAGGAAAGATAAGGAAGAGAAAAATAGGTTTTCCTGATATAACTAAAGGGGCAACGAGGTGGCACAGTGGATAGAGCACTGGCCCTGGTATATATAACTAAGCAAGAATTGAAAGAGATAGAGGAAGAAAAGAGGAAAAGGAGATATGTGTACATCTGAAAGAGAGACGGAAGGACAGACTAACACTGAGGAGTAATGAACTAAGCTGTCAATCATTAAAGAGGAAAAGGGAAGATCAAGGCAAATTCAAATTTCCCTCAGGGAGAAGGAAATAGTGTGTAGGGGAGATGGGGCCACAGAATATGGTGAGTACACCACAGCCAACAGGTTGTGTTGTATACCCAAGGCATTTTGGTTATTATCCAAAGTGATTTAGAAGTGGATAGGAAAGATACTAAGGGTTCTTTCTCTCAGTTGGGTGGAGGAAGAGGGCGGCCACGTACTTCCAAATACACTAGTGTGTAGGACTTTTGGAAGTTGGGTGTAATGTGGAGAGCATTTGTTTGTAGAAGCATGATATTTCTACCAAGCATTGCACCTGTCCTAGCATAGCCCTGGTGTTCTGTTGCTCTCCCAAATGGGTTTTCAAGGCCAGTCTCTCTCTTTCCCCACCTTCCCCCTCAATTATTCTCCTAGGGCCATTACCCTAGCTCTGTAGCTACAGTAATACCTGCCAAGGCATGAACTAAGATTTGTGGGTTAAAGATCATTTAGAATAGTTTGAGAAATGGGTCTAACTGGTGTACTGAGCCTCTGCCTAAAAGCATTACTGAAAGACAGGCTTGGAACCATGCCCTTAAGGGGAAAACAAAAAACTAAAAACCATGAACTGAACAGTACCACAAGAAAGAGAGAAATATGATTTGAAAGGAGGCCTTTTTCTAAGAAAACACCAACACAGCTTCATACCATGTGAGTGCAGGGTGAGGTGTCTATAAATGAACTGAGATGTTATCTAGATGGAGCTTTGGGAGATTAAGATCAGCACCTGGAATTAGTCCTTTCCATTGTCTGTTGTTACAATGGCAGATTCAGCCACAAGGCTTCCTGGTGCTGGGTTTTTACAGAATATGGATCCCAGAAAAATTCTGGGTGTGTCTGGCATTGAATAACTCAGAACCCCTGAAGGCAGCTGGCATCCTGTGCAGGAGCAAGCATTTTATAGAAAAGCTTGAAGAACCTTCAAGAAAGTAGGAGTCCCTGAAATTCCAGAGGGAGCAAATTCCTAGGGTGGGATGCATTTTGAGAGGAAACTGTCTTCATATACTCAGTCTGCTTCCTTGTTAAATTATTTTATAATGCTAAATTATAATTGAGTTCATTAAAATAGATATAATTGCATCAATTTTTCATGGAGTAGCAAGTCTGTGTTATTATAATCTACACACCTGGTTGGGCTACAATATGCCTGAGCAATTAGGCCTGATGGGACATGCAACATGTGCTAAATTCCCTTGCTTTTGGGTGTAGGTATGAGAAAAGCCAAGTACAAACTGCTTTTTGATCACTACAGAAACATAACATAGCAGAGTCTTAGGTGCCACCCACCTGCAGTCTCTTCCATCAATCCATTTCCCTAGCCTTGATTGCATCTGTAGCTTCTTTTTTTTTTTGAATCAGGAAGAAGCTTTATTAATGACCTGGGAAGGTGGGGCATTCCACAAGTGAGATAGCACGCATGTGAGAGCACACGTGTCAACAAATGCACACCTTTTTATTCCCTATTCCTCATTCGAATTTCCTTCTTCTGTTTCCCCACTGGCTGGGTACTACAGAGGTTACAGCCTATCCAAAGTGCCTCCCCACCGCTGTTTACATCTCCCACTCCCCACAGTTCAGAGACCCTGCCCTTATTTATTCTTGCCCTTATTTGGATATGCCCACACTCCTTCTATTTGGATTTCAGATATGTTAATATATACCTAACATCCAAACTGGTTTTCTGCCCAGTTAGTCTATTCACCACCAAGAGTGTTTTCTTATTCTAACATAACTCCCTTTGTTCAACTTCCACCTAGCCCTTTAGATTGCATTCCTTAGGTTCCACTTGACTTTTATGGAAATTTTAAAAAAAACTATTTCTCACATTCCCTCTCAATTTAAACTAACTCCTATGCTATCACAAAGGCACTCGACCTCTAATTGAGTTATATGCAGAAGCAATATCCCCAAGCACATATTCCACAATGCATAAGCAGATTATTAGTATCTCACACCAGTCACCAAGTATTTACTCAAGTGCTCAATATGTACTGGAGCATGTGCTAGGTGGGCAGCTAGGTGGCACAATGGATAGAGTGCTGGGCCTGGAGTCAGGAAGGCCTGAGTTCAAATCTAGCCTCACACACTAGCTGTGTGACTGTAGACAAATCCCTTAACTCGGTTTACCTCAATTTCCTCATCTGTAAAATAATCTGGAGAAGGAAATGGCAAGCCACTCCACTATCTTTGCCAAGAAAACCCAAAAAAATGGGGTCACGAAGAGATAGTCAACTGAAAGGATTGAACCATTGCAAAAACATGTGCTAAGCGCTGGGAATACAAATAGAAATTGAAAGATAATGCCAGCCCTCTGCATCATTCTGATACACAAAAACACATCAGGGTGACTATCCATGGCAGGAGGGTGTGTAGCTTCTATTAAAGAGTGTGGATGTATCTCATCTGATTGTCTGTAGCCATTCCCTGTCCTGAAGGACAAATCTTAAATATACACCTTTGGAAACTTACTCTTTCAAAAATGGTCCCTTGCATTTGTTGTATCTAATTATGTTGAATAAAAAGCCTTGAGATATTTTTGTATTAAATCACAGACTAAAAAAGGAACTGTTCAGGAAAGAAAAAAGCTGCATTCTCTATAAGAAACATTTCCACCTGCACGATGGTAGCAGATAGAAAAAATCTTTGCAGGGTAGCTCTTTTCTCATTGTGAAAATAGGTCTGACTTGAGATTTGTGCAAGCATTTGGGCAATGGCTTTTAGAGTCATTTTTCTTCTAGATACCACAGGTTCATGAAAATAAAGAGAAAAAAATGGTATCGAGGAGAAGGAGCACAGATGTAGAGCCGGGGGGGGGGGGGGTAATTGTAGAGGCCACTTCATCCAGCCTCCTCATTTTGCAGCTGAGGAAATTAAGACCCAGAAAGGAGAACTGACTGGTTCAGACTATCAGAAGGTGGAAAGTTCAGTCATTTTTTAGTTCACTGCCAGAGTTTGCAGGGTTTTTCACATTATTTATTAAATGAAGTAATAATAATAAGCTAATATTTTATAGTGTTATGTGCTAAGCACTTCACAATTATTATCTCATTTGATCCTTACACCAACCCTGGGAGGTATGTGTTATTATTTTCCCTAGGAAAAAGCACAGTAAAGCAGTTTCCCCTTGCAATCTAAAAAAAGAAAGCAGCCTTTGAAATAATTAATGATTATGAAGACAGTAACTAAATTGACAAGGCAGCTTTTTCTTTTATCTCACTTATCCTCATCGTATCTTTGTTCTTAAGCAAAGCAATTAAGCATACATATGCTAGGTGAAAATGAGTTCCTACTTCTAAATTTCTCATTCTAGAATGAATGAGGCTTATTCTTCTGAAGAAGAGGCTGAAAGTTCTGATATACCAATTAAGTTTGAGAAAGAAAAAAAGGCATTTTAATTGGGAGAAATGGTCAAGATTCTCAATGATTTTTCTGCTTGATTGGGATTTTTTAAAAATAAGTTTTATTGATGTCATTTGGTTTTTCATCACTGTCATTTGTGGACATACCCCACTCCTATTCCAGAACTGAAACCTTTCTTGTGATAATTAACAATATCAACAAAACCTTATACAGTAACTACATCTGACAAAGTATGCAACCTTCTGACCTTGTAGTCCCCCACCTCTATCTAAAGGAAGAATGTATGGTTTCATTTTCTACTTGGTGGGATCATTATTAGTTTTTCAATCACCCAGAGTTCCACTTCCTTTTTTATGTTGTAATTATTGTATATGTTATACTTCTAAATTTGCCCATTTTTATTCTGTATCACTTTCTCTAAATCTGAGTATGCTTTTTCATTTATTATTATTTATTAATTATTATTATTATTATTATTATTATTATTATTATTATTATTACAGATCTCTCAAAGGCCTTGGTTTTAACAGAAATTGGTCCAAAGCGTGATCCTGATACTCTGAAATTGTTCTTCAGTAACATGGAGAGGTTACTCCATGCCAAAGCTCATGGGTATGAGTTTTCTATTCTAGGGTTGAACTTTTAATTCCCAAAATGCCCTGTGATTGAGCAGAAGGGCATCAGTTGTCCAATCTTGCTAAACTCCCCAGGGATTCCAATTGGGAAAACCACAAAGGGGCTATATCAGAATAATGCAGACCAAGCTGAAGCTTCAGGAGGCACTAAGGCATAAGTGATTTATCCCTAAAGATCGATAAGGTCAGGGATTACATAGATCCTGCCAGGTGTCGGAAGGAAGACATATTTGATGATTTCTCTTCCTTTTTGGCCTAGGTTTCCATAGTTTTGTGAAATTAGGTGACTGTTGGCAATCCCAGGATTTATTGCTAGATCTAAGATTTCATCAGACTATTAACATAATGACCAATTAGGGAAAGTACTTTGAAGGCTGAGGAAGTTCTACACAGATGGCCATTCTGCCTTCAAACCCCAAACTTTTCATACTAGTAACTGACGTGTATGTAGCACTTAAAGATTTGCAAAGCTCTTTACATATATTATCCCATTTATAACCTGTGAAATAGATGCTGTGGGTATTAGTCCCATTTCATAGATGATGAAATAGGTTCAAAGAGGTAAAGTAATTTGCCCACTGGGTTGCACAGCTCATAAGTGCCAAAGGAAGGATTTGAAATCATTCAATCAACAAGCATTTATTAAGTGCCTACATTGTGCCAGGTACTGTGCTGGACACTATACAAAGTCAAAAATGAAACAGTTCCTGCCCTCAAGGAGCCCACATTCCATTGGGAAAGACAACAGGCACACATAGAAGCCAATACAAAAATGCCTAAACCAAATCCGAGCTAATGTAGCAGGACAGCAGTAGTAGCAGTTGGGAAGATCTGAAGCTGGCTGTTACCCAGACCTAGTACCATATACCACCACCACATTGCTGCCATGGCAAAATCTAGGGCCTGTTAATAGGTAAATTATGACTCATTCTTAATTATTGGATGCATATTACAGGAAAACAGATGACATCTAATGAAATCAGGACACAAACTAGTCAAGAGAAAAAATCCAATTTGAAGCTTGTTACCATGGGTTTTTCCATGTGTGTGTGTGTGTATGTATGTATGTTTGTTCCCAGAATTGGAAATAATTCTGTACCTCTTCTCATGATGACTCAGGGTACGTGTGATTGGAAGCTCTACCTTGGCTTTGTGCCACCTAGCCTCTGGCGCAGCAGATGCATATTACCAATTTGGCTTGCATTGTTGGGACTTAGCGGCTGCCACTGTCATAATCAGGGAAGCAGGTGGTACTGTGATAGACACTTCAGGTGAGTGACTGTCCCCCTCTTTGGTTTTATTTCACCTTTGTTACCTAGCAATTGAAGATAATGTAAACAGGGTAAAGTAGTACCAGGGTGTTTCCTGTTTGCCTGATTGGAGTTTCATTCCAGGCAAGTGGGTTCTAACGCTGCCTTTTCCAACAAGGTGAAACCAAATAGGGGTAGCCAAAGCTACTGGTAATCACTACCAATAAGGAATGTAGTCATTATTAACAAGGTTTTTGTTAAAACTTAAGCTATTAGAAGATTTCCTCTTCCATTTTCTCCCTGGAGATAAAAATGCATCATCTGAGACCCTACCAGACATATCCTTGTAGAGAAAGGAAATAGTCTCAGAGCTTTTAATCAGATCTGCAGCCCGATTCTCATGGCAGATCCACTCCTGTGACATGGCCATGATATATACCAAGCGTTGCCAAAAGGCACACAGTGTCCAAGGAAATCAGTAACATACCCCCTCCCTTAAAATATGCACACAACTACTCTACTATCCCTTCCACATCTGGGGAGGGGGGGTGGCGTTTCTCCCCTCACCCTGCACTCTGAAAAATCTGAATAAAATTTTTTGGCCCTCCCTTCATACCAGAGAAAAAGTCTGAATTTTTTCCTCATTTTTTTTTTCAGAGAGCTTGTTAAACATTTTCCAGGATACTTTTGGCTACCTTCATGTTTACCTGTGTACTTTCACTTCATTTCTGTTGTATATAAAGGAAACGATGGTTATATACTCCTTAATACTTAATCCTTCTACTTTTTTTTAATCATTATCTAGAATAGTCCATTAGGTAAGAGTTGCTGGACTTTAGCATTTCTGGAGTGAATCAGAGGGCCTGGGTTCAAACTCCATCTCTGATACTTCCTACCTATGGGATGTTGGTAAAGGCTCTTAATCTTCTTGAGCCTCAGTTTCCTCATCTGCAAAATGAAGGGACTGTATTAGATGGCCTCTCACGTCCTGTCTAGTTCTACAACCATGACTGTACATAATATGTTCAATGTGACACCAGGCATCTTCAATTTCTTTCTCCCCTTCTTTTTTCCCCAGGGGGGCCTCTTGATCTCATGTCATGCAGAGTGGTTGCTGCAGGCACCAGAGAAATGGCTATGCTCATAGCTCAAGCAATACAGACTATTAACTATGGGCGTGATGATGAGAAGTGACCAAAGGAAGGAAGGAAGTACTGATGCATACAACCACGAGCCTGCCTTTCTGGAAATGTAGTACTTCAAGATGGCATTCTGGGGAGGATAGAAGACCTTTAACAGCTTGCTTTCAGTGTCCAATGTTTATTGTTCCTAACTACCCTCAGGGTGGGACTTGGGGGGTGGTTCAACTAAAGTGTGTGCCCTCCCTGCTTTAATCCACATATCTTTCACCAGGGTTTGTTTGGTTTGTATACTGGTTGGTTTCTTTCTAAAAATACAATCACAGTTCAAAAGAAGTTCTGAATGTTGGGGTGGGGGAAGTAGGGGGAGCTGACAGCTAATTCTCCTGTGACATATGCAACAATAATTAAATTTCTATTTTTTTTAATAATCCAGATCTCAGGTAATAAAGCATAGAACTGCAGATAAATCAGTTATGTTTGTGCCTACAGTTCTGTTACATGGTACTTGAGAATACAATAAATCAAAATAATGGAACTATTCTTCCCTAACCATGTCACTATCATAGAAGCATTTTAGGTGCCTCCCAGAAGGACTGACAAAAATCTATTAAGAGACACTCATGTATACCCTTTGGAAAGAGTTCCATATTAAAACTGTTAGCAGTATGCTGTGGATTAAGATACTTTCCCCTGCTTTGGGCCTTTTTTTAATCACCTAAAAAAAAAGCACCAATAGAGCAAGACTTCTTAACGTTTTTTTGTGTCCTCGACCCTTTTGGCAGTTCGGTGAAGCCTATGAACCCCTTCCAGAATGATGCTTTTAAATATAAAACATGTAGGATAACACAGGAAACCAACTGCGAAATATACGTATCAAAATATTATAAAGAAAAACCAAGTTTCCAAACCCAAGTTAAGAACCTCTGGATTAGAGGATTCCTAAAAGTCCCTTCCTGCTCTAAAATTCCAGCATATTGTTTGGCTACTGTGAAAGCTTCCTTAATGTAGAATAAGGCTGGCACTTTAAAATGTAAGAAGTATACATACAGGAATATCAAGTAACTCAAAATTAATCACTGGAAAGTGAGTTTGGGGTGGGGTGAGGGAGTTTGAGGGGAAGGGTTTGTCACCATGATTCTTTTGCTCAGTTCGTGAGACTTAGGAAAAACTTTTTTGGCAAGGGGGTGCAGTAAGAGGTAAAGTTATCTTTAAGAAGGCAGAGTAAGCCAAATTAGGATATTAAAATAAATTTTGTCACCCTGGATACCCAGGTATCTTAATTTTTAAAATTAAGAATAATGGGAGAAAGGAGCATGTGGATTTACCATGATTACCATGATTTACCACAATCACCATGCACATCTTAAACTTTCCCTTAAGGTCTTTTTAGAATTTCAAATTTTTAGCTTCAGCTCCCAAAATATAAATAGCCTCAGTGCTTGAATTTTTTTCTGTTAGTTTGCTGGTAGCTAAGGTTTTGTTTTTGTTTTTAACATTATTTCCTGCCTCTTTTTTCCCTCTATGCCAGAAAGGCACCCCTTCACTTTCTTACTGTAAGCACTTACCTCCACTGTCTCTCAATTTCCCTTGTCGTTTTGCGTGTCCTTAGAGGTAGACTTAGGAACTAAAGCCAGATGTGCTCACATGGCTCCAGTCTGAAGGCCAATCAGCCATTTGGTGCCAATATCCAGCTGAGTACTTGGGAAAAGGGAGGGCCAGGGCCCAGTTTGATGTCCTCTTTCCACAAGGCCATTTAGATTTACTTGGCTTACTTACTTGGCTAACTGATTCCCACAGAGAAGCTAGCCCAGGAAGGCTGGGTTTACACAGCCAAAACGAAGTGTGAAATTGGTGCAGTTATCTGGATGATAGCATCAGGCAAGATAAAAGGGTGCTATTGAATCAAGAGAGGAGCAAAGAGCTCCTTTCTTCAATAGCAGTTCAAACAATCAATAGTGATTGAGCAGCCTTACTTGCTACTTTCCTACAGGAGAGGAACAGAAGTATTATATGAGACTCAGTCCCTGCCTCCAGGGAACTTAAGATCTAGATCCTTTGAGGACTAGAGCAAAGCTTCACTGAAGTGATAGGACTTCTAGGGTGTAAATAGAGAGGAGGGTAGCTGTGAAGAAATGCTCCTAGGAGGTAAGGAAATTTCCTCAATTCAAGGCCCAAGAAGACTAGTGAAAAGTGGGCTTGAATTTAGCATTTGGAAATTGTTCTTTCATGTACTTTAACCACATAACTCTTTGCTACTTATGCTGAGTACTTTTTATTTACATGTAACAGATATTAAAGATAGTTTGTGCTATGGAAGTCAGTGGTCAGTTTAAACCTTGAAAACTATGATTCCTTGCCAGATACCCACTGGTGAATTCATTTTTGTTCCCAAGGAAGAGATCTGTAGAGCCAAGGAAGGAGGGAATGGGGAGCAGAGAGGTCAGGACAAATCACATAGGAGGCTGCTGACATAGAGATGAATGAGGTAAAAGTGAAAAATCTGAGGCAGCTTTGAACACAAAAAGTAGTCGCAAAAGAGCACTATGCAACCTGAAGGTAGGAGACACAGAATAGTTCCCTTGGTGAATGTGGAAAGATGTTATGGGCTGATTGTACACACATGAGCCACAGCAGTTTGGGGAACCGGCTGGTAGTCACATCTGCCCTCATTTGCTGCATCTTTGAGTCACTGCTCAGGTTCAGGTAGATCTCCATACCTGAGGGACTCGGATGATTGTTCTCTGAGCCAGTTCCACTCTAACCTGGAACAGAGCTCAGCACCCACTCAAAATGAGGTCATGCTCCTGCCATCCTAGCAGTTAACCAGACAACTAATGAGACAGTCCTATACTTGAATTTGAGAGATACTTGTATGAATTCTACACTGTGCTTGCTGTTAAGGCCTACTTTATGCTAGGCCAGGTCTTGTCAAGTGTAGAAGCTGCTGGGGAATGGGGGTTGAAGAGAGATCATTCAGTGTTCCAGATTTTTAATGGCCTGAAAATGCCAAAGGTCATCCCAATGGGCCCCACCTTTCTCTGTAGGAGTTCACATCAGTCACATCTAGTGTAGGTTGAGGGGGTGGAAGGAAGGAAAGGTATTCAAAAGAAATAGAAAATATCCTATTGTAAGGGTGCTGCGGAAAATGGCTAATAAACCCAGGACTATTTCTCCTCTAATCCTTCTCTTCCAGCCAAGAGTTGGGGATTGACACCACAAAAATATAAAAGATTTAATATTTTTGAGCAACATACAAGTGGATGAAGTTTAATATGGTTTGAGCAGAGTACAAGTGTGCAAAGTCTTTGGGATTTGGTGTAGTATCAACCAAGTTTTGAAGAAGGCAAGAAACATTGGTGGGAAGAATTTTTTGTAACCAGACTTGTGATATCCTTGGCATAGGGAAGTGCTGAGAAGAAAACTTTACCTATACAAAGCTGCTTCTGCTCTGCAGTTTAGTCAAAGAGTTACCTGAGGCACTGAGTGACTTATTCAGGGTCACAAAGTTAAGATGTGCTAGAGATAAGACTTGAACACAGGTCTCTATTCCCTAGGCCATGCTACCACTCTCCAGCTAGATTAAATGGCTCCTCAATTTTTCCTTTCCACTCACATGGCCTTTAACACCTCTTATACTATTTTAACAACTTCTTAATTAATCTTGTTTCCAACACTCCTAATAAAATGATCTTCCTAAGGCACAGGTCTGACCATGTCACTCTCTTTCCCCAAAATCTTTAGTTGTTCCCTATTACTTATCAATTGCAAGCATCTTAATCTGACATTTAAGCTATTTCACAATCAGACACCAATCTGTCTCTGCAGCCTTATTTCACATTACATTGCAGCCAAACTGGCCTCCTAGATTTTCCCCAAATACATATCATCTCCTGCTTTTATAAATTCAGACAGGCCCTTCCTCATGCCTGGAATACATTTCCTCCTCCCCTCAGCTTTTCAGAATCCTTATCTTCCAGCTCAGGTGCCACCTTCTCCATATACTATATACTATATACGCCATATACTACCAAAAATAGTATACTATAGTTAAGGTGGAGAGGCAAAGGCGAAAGTAGTGTTCTGGGCTTGTAATCAGGAAGACATTTATTCAAATTCCATCACCCACACTTACTCTGTGACCCAAGGATCACTCACTTCTCTCTGGACCTTGGTTTCTTCATCCATAAAATGAAGGGAGGAGACTGGATATTTCTAAGGTTTCTTCCAGCTCTAGTATTTCCACAAAAACTAGTGCTTACCCTGCTTTAAAGACCAGGTCCCCCAGACAAGCCAACTCAGTGAATAGCAATATTGTCTTATTTTCACTTTTAAATAAACTTGAATGTCAAAATACCTATAAATTGAAAGAAGCAAGGGTCAAATTTGTCTATTTAAAGTATATATTCCATCTCTTTATTTTCCCCACTCCTTCCAAGATGCTTAGTGGTAAGAGTAAATTATGGCCAGAATTAATGCTAATAACTTACCCTTGGGTGCAGGTGATATGGAGAGGGCACTCGGTGGGAAAAACAAAGATATTCATTCTCATTCTGGTTCTGCCACTCATTAGAATGGTGTGGTCTTAGACATGTGTGTCTTCATCTCGTTCTCAGCTTTCTCATCTTCAAAATGAAGGAGCCTGACTAGACGATCTCTGAGGCTCATGCCAGCTCCGACACGCTATACTTCTTGGTGAAACTCAGCGCTTAGCACTCTTTCACGGAGGTTTCTAAGGAAATCACAGCATCCCTGACCTTAAAGGTGCATGGCATCTCAAGAGATCATTAGGTCCAGCCCCCTGCCTTTTAGCAGAGTTTGTTTCAGATTGGTGCTCTTATGGTGAATGAAACTTTTAAATTAATTTCTTCTTTCTTAAGATGCCTATTCTATCATTCTAAAGATTGTGCTTATCCCATCTCTCTCTCTCTCTCTCTCTCTCACACACACACACACACACACACACACATACACACACACACACACAGACAAGACAGAAAGAAAAATAAGACCTTTAAAAAGAATGAGGATTGTGTAAATTACTACATCAATATGATAACAGATAGCTCTAGAGAGGTTAGATGCTCTGTAGCCCTATTTCATCATCTGTAAAGTAATAAGGTTGAGCCCTAGATGGCCTCTGAGATTTCTTACTCTCTAAGATTCCAAGTTCACATAATCCTTTATGATCTAAATCAAGGTATAAAGTAACTGATGCAACAGAAATGGAAACAGCATTTTACAGCTGCGGCCATCCCTCAGGTGAGTTTGTTCTCAAATAATTTGAAATTACTTTTTAAGACTTGCAAAGTTCTCTCTCTTCAGTCTTAACCAGGGTCACGTGCCTTAGCATTTTGTAATCTCTTCATCTCTCAAGCAATAAAGGCTACACAATGCCGGAATGTCCAGGTAAAATCTGAGAAGGCTATCCAATATATGAATGTTCTGTTCACTAGATACTGAACATTTTGCTCTTAAGTAGCTGAAGCTTTCCAGATAGGGAATTATCTTGGAAGAGATTCTTTCGTCATGTCTAGGCACAT